CTCTCCCTTCCAGTGTCATGAAGTGTTTCTACCAGCAGTTTCACAGCTTCTGGCCTTTCATTTGGGCCTTAAATTGATTTGGAATTGATTTTTGTACATGAGAGATGGGCAGGGGATGTCTTGTTTCCATCTTCTGCATATCGAGATCCAATTTTCCCAGCACCATCTGTTTCAAAAACAGTCCTTTTTTCCAACATATATTCTTAATGTCTTTGTCAATATTCAATTAGCAATAGATCCACAGGTTTACTTCTAGGGTCTCTCTCTTTTTTTTTTTTTTTAATACCAATGTCATGCTAGTTTAATAGCTGTAGCTTTGCAATATATGATAATGTCAGGTAATGTAATGTCTCCTACTTTGTTCTTCTCCTTGATACTCTGTTGGTTATCTGAGGCTTTTTGTGGGTCAGGGCAATTTTTTTTCAGTATTTTTCTAGTTCTGTGAAAGAGGTCTTTGGCATTCTGATAATGATTGGGTCTATAAATCACTTTGGACATTATATTGATTCTTCCAGTCCGTGAACAGAGTATGTCTTTCCATTTCTTTGTATTTTCAGTTTATTTAATCATTATTTTATGGTCTTCATTATAGAGATTTGTCACCTCTTTGATTAAATTTCTTCCTATGTAGTTTTTTTTTTCCATTTTATAGTACTTGGAAATTGAATTGCTTACTCAATTTCTTTCTTAGGTAGTTTGATATTGATGTGTAATGATGCTATTTATCTGTGTGTTAATGATGTGTGTTAAAACTTTGTTCGATAGTTTTTGATGGAGTCTTTGGGATTTTCTATTTATAACATCATGTCATCTGCAAACCAGCACAATTTTCCTCCTTTACAATTCAGATGCCTTTTATGTATTTCTCTTGCCTAATTCCTCTAGCTGGGACTTCCAGCACTGTGACAAATAAAAGTAGACACAGATTTGCTTTTTCGGTATGTTATTATTTTGTTTCTTTGCCAAAGATTTTGGCCAGTAGCTTTCTCATGTGTTGCTGTGTCCTTAGAAAATGGATTTTCTAGAGCACCATCTCTGTGTTTGAAAAGTACTTATATCTCTGAGTCTCCAGGCTCTACCTGTGAACTAACAGGAACGAGGACAGCATCCCAGGTGCTGGCGCAGTGTCTCCCTAACGGACGGCACTGGAGACCTGGCCAGCACCCACCTGTATCCCCTGCTTTCCACTTGACCTGCTGTCATTTTTTTTCTTCCCCTCAGTATAGCTGTTTCGTTTTTCCTGCATATTTCTGGTCCTCTCCTATTAAAAGCCAGCATGTAAGTAGCATTCTATCCTAAGTAGCATTCTATCCTAAGGAATGAATTCACTAAGTTATTTCTAATGTTTCTCAATTTCTCTCCCCAGTGGATTGCTTGCTGAACAATATCCCAAACTTTTGTTTGACCTGATGCCCATCATATGGATAAAACCAAGTAAATATGCTTTCAACAAAATTTCTGCAAATTGGGGGGAAAATATTGGTATTCTTAGCTGCCCTTCCTAATAAGTTTTTTGCTAAAAGCTTTTAGGATTCAGCTCCATTATAAGTAGTAGTGGAATATTTACATTGGAACTATATTGTTGTCCCTTTTTCAGTGTAATGTGTGTGTGTATATATACACTATATATACTACATATATATGTACACGTATTTATACTATATATTCACATGCATATAACTTAAGAGACTGTCATTTGATTGTTTATGTTCTTAGCCCATGGGATGTATAATTTTCTGGTAAAAGAAAAAAAAAAACACTAACTTGAAAGAGGACAGAAACAAGGCTAGACACAGGTCTTCCACCTGCTGGGTCACTTCCCATGTCCTTACAATGTCCTCACAGGCTACAGTAAGGGGTTAGGAATTTGGGGTCTGCTATGTAGATGGCAGGACTTCAAGTATTTCCACCATCACTTGCTGCCTACCTGCCCCACCCACCCACGGTGCACATTAGCAAGAAGCTGGAATTGGGAGCAGAGCTGGGATTTGAACCTGTCACACCACAATACGAGATATGAGCCTTCCAATTGGCAGCCAGGATATGAATTGGCACCCATATGGGATCCTGGCACTTGTAAGCAGAGGATTAGCCAATTGAGCTATTGTGCCAGGCCTGTCCCCTACATCTCTATGGGTGTTTCCAAGATGTTACATTTGCTCATCCATATTTTGATCCTGCATGGCCTCGCATACCATTCACAGGCACAGAGGGTCAGGAGTCTCCAGATAATTATCGACATTCTCTGGCCATTGGAAACCTCAGGAGCCTCAGGCATGAACAGGACAAGCCATGTGGGGTCAAAGCCAGTTGTAACTCCTTGGAGAAGCCACTTGTGCATTGCTTCCTCTGCCATCATTTTCCCATCACTCTGAGATAATTAGGCCCATTAATTTATATATATATATATATATATGTGTGTGTGTGTGTGTATATATATATATGGCTCAATCTTCTGTTTTTTTAATTCTTCAATAACAATAAATGAAAGCATTTGTAAATCACTACCCAGCCTGTCAAATATTTTCATCACTAATGTGGGTCAACTATCACTACCAAAAATGTGGCCTTAGCTCCCAACATCTCACATTTGGCATTTCAGGAATTAAATGTAGATCCTTTCTGAGTTGGTAAGATTTAATGTTTTTCCTATTAATGACCCAAAAACAAATGGAAACTTTGGCTTCTAATTTATGGATTTCTTACATTAGAGGTCCAAGCAACTGTATTTTTCCTCTGTGCCTTCTCCATTGCCTTTTCCCCCTTTCTTCCCGAACTTCTCCTGTCTTTACTCTCTTTGCCTGGCACATCCGCTTGAGTTTCTTCATGGCTACTAAGGGATTTGACTTCTAGACCTAAAATCATATACCATATAAAATAATATGCCTTGTTTCTCAGCTATAATCTTTTTTTAAAAAAAACACATACCTTATAAATCTTTAAATATTGGCAGTACTAACCATTACACATATATGCTGTTCTGGTAGTGCTGGCGATAGCTTTTGTTTTTAACAGATGAATTTCCTTTTCTTTCAAGCTCGAAAGTCTGAAATTGTGAAGTCAAATGCCTATGTCTGTCCTCTCTACAAAACAAGTGAACGGAAAGGAACCCTTTCCACGACAGGACATTCCACTAACTTTGTCATCGCAATGTCATTAAAAACAGACCAGCCTATCCATCACTGGATCAAGCGTGGGGTCGCTTTGCTTTGCCAGTTGGACGATTAACTGGGACACATTTAGAAAACATTTGTGAGAGTAAAGGAAACCACTATCTTCACTCGTTTTAAATACATGTCTTATAAACTCAAGTTCGTTGGCATTGTTATCTTGGGGTCTTTGGGGTCGGTCTTTGTATGGTTCTCCTCCCTGGTTTGCCACTGTTGATTTGAATGGAACCTTCTGAATGGACTGAGGCGCCACAGATGCCTGTAGAAGGGAAGTGTGAAAAGGAAGGCTTCCTTGGAAGCATTTGAAAAAGTTTTTGCTTTTCAAAATTTTACATGTACATATAATGTACATGTTTCTCATACATATGGGAACTTTGTGCAATGAAATGATAAATTCTAACAGACCATCTCTTTCGTGGGCATTAAGTCACTGATTCCTTCAACTTCAGTGATAGTTTACTTTCCACTGCACTGTCTGAAGTGACTGTCTTTAGGCATTTCAAACTCATAAAGAAATTGTAAATTAGGAAACTATTAACAGACTTGTATGTTCATATGGTAAAAACATTGATTCTATTTCTGATAGTACCCCTTAGAAAGGAAAGGAACCTCAAGACCTTTTCATGTTTTTGTTAATTAGAAATGTAAGGTGGCCTCTGCATCTGTTTTAACAGTATCATCACTTAGTGTACACTCCTAACTAGTGTACATTAAACATTTTTAAATATTTCAACAAAACAAAATTTCACTTAAATTTCTGTGCTCCTGTGTAGAATTAACTCCTTTCTTAGAATTCCAAGGACATTTGTGTCTTACATTTTCTTGGGATTGTGGAACATTTCAAGTTCCACATGTTCCGTACTCCCAAGAAAATGCAGCTGCAGCTACCCCTGAATTGGGAATGTTGGGCAGTTACTTTTGATAATTCCATTGGAGCAAAGTGAACTGAGTCTCTTAAATAGAAAGTTGATTGTAGTTTTCAGTGGCTGTGTGTGGCTTTTAAGAGAATGACTTCTCTTTTTAACTAACCCCATGCAAAAGCTTTTTATTCCAAGCATAAAACATTTTATATTTAAATTTGATGAATCTAGCGGGAAAGAGGTCATGTTTTCAAACAGCTAAACCACAAGTGAAAAAAAAAAAAAAAACCAAGGAGAATGCGCCAGACTGTCTTATGATCAAGTATTTATAGTAGAGCTATTAATGGAATGGCCCTACAGCGAGTGGAGAGCCTAAATAGAAATGAAAATCCTGAAGCTTACATGTACGAATGCCTAGCAGCGAAAATCTCGGTGCTGTCCTAAAGAACACAGCGAAAGGTATGTGATCAGACCTACCGTTTGCTAACACTAAATGTTCTTTTAAAACTCCTTAGACATTGCCTAATAAAACACATTGGCTTTTCACTACCGCTGTTTCTATTCTGTGAGGTAGTGTGAGGATCTTCTATTCCTATAGAATGTCTAAGTGTTTACTAAGTCACAAAATATTTTCAGCTTAACTGTGTGGGAAAGATGATTTTTTGGTTACGTGAAAAGTACAAGCATTTCCAGTGTTACAATGACATGGTCTTCAGTCTTATGTGAAAGGCTGTGCTTTCTGAATAAGCTTGGAACACAGACAAACTTATGTATGTGCAATCTACAGCAGTCGGATAACTGTTTGAAACAGGGAAAGCATTTAAATGAATATGCTGCTTAATGACCTTTGCATTTTCTAGTTTTAGCAATTCTATCAACTTTCTACATCTTTTTAAAAATAATTTTCAGCAGCTGACACTTATCTCACATCAGAAAAATCCTTGTCTTCCATCCTGACTGTCCACACCTCATGGATAATCACTCCAGCGACGAGGACACGGAGGATGACCTGGCCACCCAGCTCACCATTCAGCAGAGTCTGCAGGATGCTTACAGGCCAGGACCACATCGTGCACCTGAGCAAGCCAGGTGATCGCTTTCTCCTGGCCAGTGTCCTGTTAGGTATTCCACAGGCATGGCTGGTCCCCACCATCATTCTAATGTGACAAAAGCAAGGAAAGGGGTGGGAAGGATAGTCAGAATACTACTACAAACTACAGTGTAACTATCTTTAAAAACAACTTAGAAGAAGTTTCTAGGAAGAAGGGGAGAGGAGAAGCAGGGGCTAGCAAAGAACTCAAGCGCATGTTGGCTTTGGGGAGTCAGGGACACACATGAACCCAGACGAGTCACACAGAGCTATCTGCAGCCTCCGTGCAGGAGGTGGGGCTAGGGCCCAAGGAGCTCTCATTGACTCAGATCATGGGGGCAACGATAGAAAGGTAAACCCAGGAGAGTCCTAGCCCTCTGGGAGGTGTGGACTCAGTGTTCTGTCTTAAAAAGAGCAGAGAAGGACAAGGGGTTCTTGATGGCTTGGGAGCTGATACAGGCACTCCAGTCACGTGCCCTTGAGCCGACACACCACTGGCTGCTCAGGGACCGCAGCTCCCTGCCGTAGCTGCCATTGCTTTCTCTGGGGTGGTAAATCCAGTTTGCTTATAATGGTGACTTCTATTTTCCTGCTGAAGGTGAAACTGAAGAGATGTTTTTCAAATCCAAGATGCTTTACAATTATAATGATAGAGTTCATCTCTTGGGGTGAGCACTATGTGTGTGACACACTGAAGCACTTCATAAACATGAAGTCACTTAAGTCCCACTTCTCTTTACCTCTCTCCGACATGAGTGCTTTCATCCTCAGGAATGCAGAAACTGAGGCACAGGGCTGGCAAGTGAGGAGCAAGGCAGTCTGATTCCAAAGTCCATGCTTTTCACCACACACCTTTTCTATACTTAGGAGAACTCGCTAAGATAATCTGTAAAGTTTTATAAGTAAATTGGGCCTGCCCGATCCTTTGCTACATTACCCATGATTAAAAATCTAATGGGCTCCCTCCAGGCTGGCACACAAACCTTGCCCTTAAGAAGCTAAGGGGTCCGGGGCGGGGGAAACAGGTGGGGACAGGGGACACACTGCGAGAACCTACGTCAGGGATGACAGGAGGCCTCACATCACTGCCAGGATTCCCACCTGGCATCTAACATCCCACCTGTTGTATCTAGGCTTTCCTTCCCAGGAGTTTTTGTCCTTGGCAAATGTCTGCTGCCTTTGGTTTCAGAGCCCTTACCTGTCCCCACCTTGTCTTTGGTTTCCATGAGTTGCCTTGGTTCTGCCCTCAGTTGTGGATTCATGAATGTGCTTTCTCTACACAGCTTGCATTCCATGCTGAGCACCGAGTGTCAGAAGATAGTTGAGACTATCGAGGCAGTTAAGTACTCTTCCTATTCTAGCTCCTCATTCCCCTCTGAGCTCAGGATGCCTCGGTCCACAGCTGGTTGTCAAGGATCTCAGGGCCAGGTGTTTTCTCCCAGGGGAGGCCACAATTTAGCAAAAGTCCTGGCTTCCTGTGTACACAGAACTGTTTGTGACAAGCTTGGGGGGGAGGGCGGTAAGGGGAGGTGTGATCAGGGGCCCTGGGGTTATGGATTGCCAGGTGATAGGTTCTGTCATCTGTCTTTCCTGAGCCACAGGTACATGTACCTCTCATAAAAAGTAGTGTTAATTCGGTTGTCTCGGCACCGGCTGTGCAGGTAGCATTTGGTATTGGTGTGTACCACCCAGAATGTGTGCCCAAATGTGAATCTGTTCTCCTATGACCTGCTAATAGGTGAGGAAGAGGCATTGTCACAGCTGGCCCGGCACCCCTCTGCTTTCGATGAAGCCGATGGGATGGGATGGACCCCTCTGCACAAGGCAACGGTGCAACTAAATAAGAACATTCTGGAAATAACCCTGAAGGGTAAACTGCCTTTCACTCCTGTTGATGCTTCTGAGACGTGTCTGTGAGGTTTGTTTCCATGTCTTAACCTACATGGGACAATCCATGCATTTCAGCTTCAAAAGCCAGTGTGTGGGAGCAAACCACCCAGCTTGGGGAGACCCCGCTGTTCCTGGCCGTAAGCAGCTCCCTCATAGAAAACGCCAGTTTCCTCCTCCTCAATGGCTGTGATCCCAACGCAAGGAACTTTGAAGGCAATTCTCCACTTCTCACAGGTAAGGGAATACCATCTCTCAGATGGTTTACTTACTTGAAAGTGTTACAGAAAGAGGTGATCTTCCATCTGCTGGTTCACTCCCCAGATGGCTGCAATAGCCAGGTCTGGGATAGGCTGCAGCCAATAGCTTAATCCTTTTCTCCTACATGGACCCAAAGTTGGGACATCCTCCACTGTTTTCCCAGGTGCATTAGCAGGAAGCTGGACTGGAAATGGAACAGCAGGGACTCAAACCAGCAACTATATGGGATGCTTGTGACTCTGAGCTCTCCTCTGTGCCCACGAGTCCCAGCAACAAGTTGCTGTGTTTCCTGGCAGCCCTGTCACACTGGTCCCACCCACCCAGATCTGAGAACCTGCCTGTCAAGGAGCTTTTCCAGGGCTGGCCTGTGGTCACGGCCTAAAGGAACCTTTGCCCATAGAGAGGAAGCTTGTTGGTCCTGGCCCTTCATCACTGCAGTTAATTTGGTGCAGGCTAGATCTAAGAGGGGAGGAGCATGGGGCAGCAGCTGTGAGTGGGTACAGGTAGTCTCTAGATCTGTCACATGCCTCCCTGGGACACATTCCTCCCTGACCCAGCTTTGTGTAAGTACAATCATCATAAGGTAAGCATCATTTCTCTAACACAAGCATTGTGCAATAAGCATAGGAGATTGGCAGGATGAGCAATATGCAGGCGAATGAGGCCAGGAGGAGAAAAAGGTTCATTTTTCATAGTGAGAAGTCATTCAGATAGACCCACACACAAAAATTCAAAAAGTAGCAGTGTCAGCAGGCTATCCAGAAACGTAGATCTAAGGATCGGCTCAAGGAGGCCTCTGGGGAGGGAGAAGAAAAAGGCCAGAGTAACTGATGCTTGGTTTAAACTCTTGGACCTGTGTGAAGGATCAGACTCAGACAAGGAAGAGCAGAACCTGCTGAGGATGAAAATGTGAGGCCCTCCCTGGTTTGTGCCAAGACGCTGTCTTGGGCTTGTGTCTGTAAAAGGATTAGAATAGAATAGAATAGAATAGAATAGAATAGAATAGAATAGAATAGAATAGAATAGAATAGAATAGAATAGAATAGAATAGAATAAAGAAAACTTTAAAATAATAGAATTAGAATCGAAAAATTTTAAAATAGAATAAAACATCACACATTTTCACATTTAAAATAAAAAATAAATTTAAAAAGTAAAATAAGAAGAACAAACTTAAAAAAAAAAACAGAGGAGCCTTCTCCATGACTACAGCTTGTAAACTTCAAAGTCCCAGGTTGCACAACTGAGTGAAAAGAACTTTGGTTTAAGTCTAATTCTTCTGAATTTACTTCCTTATCTATAATATAGGGATCAGAGTTATTGTCTAGTGTGTATATGGAAAAGTCACGTATGTGTTTCAACAATGATAGTGGAAAGCACTGATTTTCCTCTCTTGACTTCTGCCTGTTTGGCAGCTTGAGTGAGTCCATGTCTATGGGCTCCACATGGCATTTCCTATGTGAGACCAAGGGGTATGTGGCCGAAAGAGAAGCAAGTTCATTGAGAGATTTATTGAAACCTGCAGTGCAGCCATGTGCGAAGTGAACCTCACAGAATGTACAGTGTTCTCAGACCTTTTATGGTTAAGGATTTGTTTCTGTACAACAAAGTGCTTATAAAAGAACTTAAGGCTTGGCACGGTTGCTGAGTGGTTACAGTCCTGGCCTTACATGCACCAGGATCGCATATGGGTGCCGGTTTGTGTCCTAGAAGCCCCGCTTCCCATCCAACTCTCTGATTGTAGCCTGGGAAAGCAGTCAAGGAAGGCCCAAAGCCTTGTGACCCTGCACCTACATGGGAGACTCAGAAGCTCCTGGTTTCAGATTGGCTGAGCTCCAGCCATTGCAGCCACTTGGGGCATGAATCATCAGAAAGAGGATCTTTCTCTGTATATCTAACTTTCCAATTAAAAATAATAAATCTTTAAAAATAAAGACAGAGCTTCCATCCACTTGTTCACTCTCCAGATGGCTGCAACAGCTAAGGCTAGGTCAAAACCAGGAATGAGAAACTTCGTGTGGGTCCCCCACATGAGTGCAGGTAGACCATCCTCTGCCGGTTTGCCAGGCACATCAGCAGGGAGATGAACTCAGAAGTGGCACAGTTGGGACTTGAACCGACACCTGTATGGGATGCCAGCATCATAGCAGCGGCCTGATCCACTGTGCTCCAGCACAGGCCTGTTTTATTTTTCTGACCACAGAATTGTTTTCTTTACAGAGAATCTCCAGGGACTTTATGCCACAGGCAAAAACATTTTTCTGTTCCGGAAGCTTAGCCACTCATTTAAGCATGCACATCTAAATTGCTCATTAGTCTATGTTCAGCTGGAGTAGCTCTTATTGCTGTTTTGGTTTTTCTTCTTTGAAACCAGAAACAGCACTGCTGGGACTGCACTGGGCATTTAGGATCTTTTTTTTTTTTTTTTAGAAAATTAAGATGATGAGTGAGTACATGCTTCTGTGTCTCAACTATATAAGCAGCCAGGTAGATGATGAATAATTGGTCCTGACTTTCAGGAAACAGGTAGTCCGCTGATACAAAATAGGATTAATGTTATTTGACACGTACCGTACCTTACTTTATGCTGTGATTCCTAAATACAGAACACTGGAGCATGGGACAGGCATAGTGGTATAGCATTTAAACCACTGTTTGGGATACCTGCAACCCACATGAAAGTTCCTGGGGGAGTCCTGGCTGCTCTGCTTCCAATCCAGCTAGGTCCTACTCCTGTGTACTGAGGTCACAGATGACAGCTCACCAAGTACTTAAGTCCCTAGCACCAGATGAAGTTCCAGGTTTCTGATTTCTGACTGTTGCAGGCATTTGGGAAAGCAAACCAAATATACTGATCTTACTCAATAATAATTCTGAGGCATGGGAGTAGGTTGAAGGGTTCCTAAGAAGCCTGAGGGGAAAGGAAGAAATTTGACAAATAGGTTAAAACAGCACTTGGGACACCAGAATCCTTTATCAGTGTGTCAGAGTTCAAGTCCAGGTTCTGCCTTCAATTCCAGCTTGCTACTAATGTGTAACCTGGGAGGCAACAGTACTAGCTCAAATACTTGGCTCCCTGGCACCTAAGAGGGAGACGCAATGGAGTTCCAGACTCCTGGCTGTCACAGACAGTTGGAGAGGGAACCAGCAGATGGAACATCTCTCTCTTCTCTTTCCAAGTTAATTAACTACTTTAAAGCAAGCCAACAGAAACTTGGGGGCATCAGCAATATGGTACTTACTGACCTATGGGACGTTACCATGCCCACCTCACTCCCATTTCCCAGCTGTTCTGCGTGACTGCTATGACATGGCCTCCCTGCTGATCAGCCACGGAGCCAACGTCAATCTGCGCTGTGCCAATGAGAGGACGGCTCTGCACGAAGCAGCCAAACTGGGCCGACAGGACATGGTGAAGCTGCTGCTGGTTTCTGGGGCACACCCTGACCCTCAGAGCTCCTACGGGTTCACCCCTCTGGCTCTCGCTGCCCAAGGTGGCCACACTGCAGTCATGGAGCTGCTACTACAGAAAGGCAAGTTAACTCCTCGGATGTGCAGGCTACCAGGCTAACATGCCAGGTGCTCTCCTCTTGGTGCAGAGCTCCAAAGCTCACAACTTCCTTAAGTCAAAAGGAATGTCTGATCAAAGTACTTGTTACTGTTACCTCCTGTACAGCAGCTAAAAATAGAATCTGAGTTTCCTTTTCAGGGTGCTGTAACTCCTTAAAACAACAGGGGTAGAAGTCATCCTCTTAACATTTCTTCACCATGCTGAGGGTAAGGTTGTCCATTTTTACTTTTGTGATGTTAACTCTTTGCTAGGATCATAAAATTGAAGACCTTGCAAATGCCCTACATGGTGTCACTGCTTAGACTAATTGTGAGGCAGGTTCATGTCTTATTAAATGCCTCTAGGTCCTGAGTTATTTTCTTTTGGTTCCAGTTCTCCACTCAGTTAATAATCAAACTCAAAAAAATGAAGGTGAAGCCTGCTGAAGAAATGACAGAGGTTAAGTTGCCCACAGTGCTTCATACAGTCCTTAATAACGGGGAGGTGATGTATCCTCAGATAGGGGCTAGATGGACTATAGGGGCTGTGGCTATTATGGACCTTGGTTACCTGCCACAGGCCCCTGGCCCACAGAACTTAGGCACTGTCTTCGAGGAGTCCTCCACGGAGGATACCACTGGAGGAAGCAATGTAGTATCTGACGATTATTTGCAAGGAGCAAACTTTTAGCAAGATTTAATCAAGTTCTCACATAGAAATTGCTTTTTCCCCCTCCTCCCTACTCCAGATGCCTTTTTTCCTTTCCTTTCATTCTTTCTATTACAGTCCTGGTCTTCAATATTCTAGTTGGCACAAATGCCTATATTTAAGAACAACCTTGAGCTTTTTAGACTTATCTCAATCTTCCCTATCCCAGATGGCTAGCTGCTAATCAATGGCCATCAGAAAGTTTAAGCAGAATGTTTACAAAGAATGGCATAAGAAATGTCTCAAATCATCAGCACAAACAACCAAAGGCAACGCTGACGAGAGAGAACACATTAGATTACTGATGAAAATACACGGAGGCAACAGATTTTCAAACCCCTGCCCTTCAAAGAAATCAATACTGGTTCACTGCAGCGAGGTGAGTGTGCATTTCTTTACAAAGGAATCTGCACACAGATTGCAGACAGGAGGCAGCCACGGGAGCCACATCAGCCCGATCCCAGATCTCATGCCTTTAGCGCCCTGCAATGCTAGAGAGCTGGCATGGCATCGCAGCAGCAGTCCTGGGTCTGGAAGACCTGCACACAGACACTGAGGGTCTTGCTTTCTGGGGAAAACACTAAATAAAGCTCAATGAGCCTTGGCTGCTTCATATTGAAAGTAAGGACACTGGTACTTTGGGGGGTTGTTGTGATGTTTAGTTCTGCACTTGGAAAATGGAGGCACCTAGGGTTTTGTAATACATTCAAAGAATGGGGATCTCAGGGAGCTACTGTAGAGTCTGCACTAAATAAGTCATTAACCTCTATTTATGGAAGCCCAGAAAGGTGTCATCAACTTGGGTCCATTTTACTGGCAACCTTCAACATCTGACCCCAAGCTCTTTTACCTTCTTGCACTGTCTCCCAAGGCTCCCATCACAACCTCAGCCCTAAACTTCCTGGACAACATTCCCAGTCCTCTGACCCATATCACTCCGCTACACTTAGCACCCAGGGTTCTGTAGTTCTTTTCACTGTTAACTGTCCCCAGCTTCAGTTAGAACAGTTGCAGTGTCTCTTATTATGAAGAGCCCCCCCCAAAACAAATCAGAACAAACACCATCTTCTACCAAAACACCATCAGATGGCGTGAAGTTACAGTCCAATACATTAATATCATCCCATTACAAGTTAAGTGGGTGTTTGTAGGCTGGTCTAAAAAGAAAACTTACCTTTTATGAAAATGTTTCTACTCAAAGTGTCAAGTTTCCAACCAACGCTTGACAAAATTACTGAAAGTTAACCTGTTTGTTAAACTGATTTACCATTTTCTTTCCTCATCAACTGGTTTACAAATTGCCCAAGAGCAGGACATATAGCATTTCTGATTCTTAGTACTTGAATTGCATTTTGGTGGTGGTTTAAGCTTGTTTAACACAGTGGAGAATAGTTTTTGCCTAACCGCACTCCATCTCCTCCTAGGAGCTAATGCTCACGGTCAGGCCTCTGATTCTTCTTCCATCCTGCTGGAAGCTGCCAGAGGAGGAAATCCAGACTCAGTGGCCCTCCTGCTTGAGTACGGAGCTGATGCCAACATCCCTAAGAACTCGGGCCACCTGCCCATCCATGTGGCTGCAGACAGAGGTCACTTACTGTAAGTTCAATTACATTAATATATCTACATAAATAGAAACGGCTACCTTTGTCACTTTTTATTTGAAAAACAGAGACACAGTGATCTTCCATCCACTGGTTCACTCCCCAAATACAACAGGAGCTGGATCAAGCTAAAGCCAGAAGCCAGGAACTCAATCTGAGGCTCTCAGAAGGGTAGCAGGCTCCCAAGTGGTTAAGCCATCACCTACTGACTCCCAGGGAGCAATTAGCAGGAAGCTGAAATCAGAAGCAAAGCCAGGACTCAACACCAAGCACTCTAAAATGGGACATTTTATGTGTCACCAAGTGGTATCTTAATCACTATGCCAAACTCCCCATACAATGCCCACTTTGAGCAGCTTCTAGAACTCTGTTCTTTATCTGATGCTTACATCTTTAACACTCCCTCTAAATTCTTGACTAGCTGCAGAGTGAAGCCAAGTATTCTTGGTAGCCACTGACAAGATGTAAGATCTGTTTCATCATCAGGTCAGTAAGCAATTTGGGCAGCTTCACATCAATTGGCAGGCTAATTCTGAGTCTTATAACCTAGACAGTAGTGAGTAGTACCCAGTATCTGATCTTTGGGGGAAGGAATTGTTTTCTTGTTGTTTGATACTAAAACCACACATCCAGTGTCAGTATTAGACTTGTAAAAGCTGAATCTTAACAAATATGGTTTTGAAATGCACTTTGAAACTCTTTCTCAGAGCTCTAAAGAAGCTGATTCCAGTTACAAATCTTGTTGCCATCAAGCGGAGCGGGATCAGTCCAGTTCACTGCGCAGCAGCAGGGGCGCACTCTGAGTGCCTGGAACTTCTTATCCAGGCTGGATTTGATGTGAATTTCATGTTAGATCAGAAAATTCGCAAACATTATGATGATCAAAGGAAATCAGCTTTGTATTTTGCGGTATCAAACGGTGATCTCTCTTCGGTAAAGCTGCTTCTGAGTGCAGGAGCTCTGCCTAATCAAGACCCGGTTAACTGCCTCCAGATAGCCCTTCGACTGGGCAACTACGAGCTGGTAAGTCTGCTGCTGAGGCATGGGGCCAACGTGAATTACTTTTGCAAAGTTAACCCTCTGCACTTCCCGTCGGCACTGCAATACACACTGAAAGATGAAGTCATGCTCAGGATGCTGCTCAATTATGGGTATGATACAGAGCTGTGCTTCGACTGTCCTCACGGTGACAAAGCGCATCCTTTATATAGTTTTGAAGGCTGGACCTCTACAGTTATCAAAGACACCATGGTAAGTCCACATTTATGACCCTTGACCCTGGGCCTAACAGCAATGGAAGCTCATGGTGGGGAAGATTCTAGTGTAACAAATATGTGATAAAATAATTCTATGATCAAGTAAACATACTAGTAGAAATAAAAGGCAAACAGTGATGTGACCCTGCCTAGCCCTGCAGTGGAGTGTTACAAAGCATCACCCCAGTTAACATTTTGAAGTCAATGTATTCTAATTGTACTTTTTTTTCTTTGATAAGCTACCTCGCTAAAATGCTTCCAAGTTCTTGACACTTGTGCTCTTAGATTGGTGGATCTTTTAGCTCTAGTGTTATATTGCTTCTCAGCTTTTTGGCTAAGATCAAGTGTAGCTCTAGTATTAAATGGCTTCCCTGGGTCACCTTTTTGATAAAAAGAATCACAAGAAACAAGCTAACAAGACACTTCATTTCCATCACACCATGCTCCTAGTTCTCTCCAACTGATTCCCTGATCTGAGCTCTTAGGGGCTCATTTTGGAGCCTGAGAGAGGCCCTGCTCTGGGTACCACCATCACTCGAATGTGATGCTCATTTCCCTTACAGTATTTATCAGTTTATAAAAGGACCTTGTTAATTCTACCAACCGTGTCTTCCCCACAAATACACAAATAGGAACATTTACTCATTACTTTCCCCAGCTTACAGATCTGCTTAGTGTAGCAGTGAATGCTCTGGAAATACTTGAATTCCTATCATCAAAATTTGAAATAAAAACAAGTGGACAAGTGGGTACCTTGTGGTTCAGATGTCCACGTCTCAGTTAAAGTGTACCTGGATTCAATAACCACCTCCAGCTTCTTGCTTACAGATCCCTGGAAGCCAGTAGATGGCTCAGTTGGGTCCTTACCACCCCGTGAGGATACTTGGCTTGCATTCCCCAGTTTCTGACTCTGAACCTAGCTCCAGTCCTGCACTAGGTCAATTCCAGTCATTGTAGGCTGGTGGGAACTGATACTATTGATTTGAGTACTCTTTTTACCTGGGTATCTGAAAAATATTGTAATGATTTACCTGTAGATGATTAATGTAGCACTTTAGTTCACAACTTGGCACTGATTATTTCTTGATTATATAATATTAACTTACCTGTATATCTTAACTAAAAGCACTTTAATGCATAAACTGTCACATCCCTCAGACAGCAGGGCAGTATTAGGTTATGAGTGACAGAAAACTCCCAAAGGAGAGGAACTTCAAGATGGCTACAGTGACAGTGTTACAAAGCTTCATGATTCCCAGAAGGAACTCACACCCACATTCCAGCCCACAGGACAGCAGGAGGAAGCAGCACAGCCTATGCCTTTGTTATTCTGAGATGTTCTTGCTCCCACTTAACATCTCTGGCTGCAACATCATGGGTGGTGTCAGATAGCCACACCTAGGTATGAGTGATTCAAAAAAGGAAATCTACTTCAGAAGCCAGTGGACCAGAGGCTAACAGAGCTTATGAAACAGTCGTTACACAGCAAATTCATCTTACATGTATATCCTTCTGAAGGCACAGCTCTACCACCTGCTAAGAGATTTTCTTTGTTATTCCCTTAGTTTACACGTCAGGAATTTGAAACCTTGGATTACTATGCTAACCATAGATACCTGATGTTTTCTATTTTACCGTTTGTTCTGACCCCTCTCCCCTACCCCCCAGTTCTGTGAAGTAATAACACTGTCGTGGCTGCAGCATCTTTCTGGAAAGGTGGTTCGAGTGATGCTTGATTATGTTGACCAAGTTCAGATCTGTTCAAAGTTAAAAGCTGTGCTCCAAAAGCAGGGGCTTTGGTCAGAGATCCATTTTATCTTGAGTGAGTATCTCTGCTGTAGAAAACTCCTACTGAAATAGTAACTGTATTCTCGTTTGTGTGTGCTTAACGCTTCTCTGGTTAAAAGCTTGACCTAAAGAAGTTAAAAATGCCATTGCTCTCTGAAATATTATTTACATCTATATTTAACATACTATCTACTGGGAAATTATAATAAGCATATGTTAGGTAACTACTTATTACATATAAGTAGTAATACTCTTTCGCAATCCATCTGAACAGTGACTTCAAGATATTAGTCACAGGAATTACAAACTAAAAAAATAACTTGGTGGCGAGAAAAGGTAAGGTCTAAATGTGTACAGAGCATCAAATGACACTTCTCAAATTCTCTCTGGCAGCACACTGTCAAATCAAGAATTCCTTTTATTGTATTTCCACATGAGTGCTGATCTTGAAGTATACCAAAAGAAAAAGTCTCGTTTGATATATTTAATAAGTTCCAGGGCCACTAAAAATCTGCTCTTAGTTCTTTCTGATAATGTGCCTATTTCTTCCATTTTAGCAAATCCTCGCTCCCTAAAACACTTGTGCCGCCTGAAAATCCGGAAGTGTATGGGACGTCTCCACTTGCGATGCCCTGTCTTCATGTCATTTCTTCCCCTACCCAATCGTCTAAAAGCATATGTCCTTTACAAAGAGTATGACCTTTATGGACAAGGAATTGTGACAGGATCCTGGTAATCAAACTATTGCAGAGAAAAAGGTATAATTATGTAGCTCTATTTCTTAAAATACTAGTCACCCATAAGTTAAATTTCAGTGTAGTCCACACCAAGATGTTATTCTACACCTAGCCTTTCAACCTATAAATGGCTAGAACTCTAAAGACTATAAAAAGCCAAAACCCAAAGATCAATGAACTAAAATCCACCTGCTCCAGTTCTGTATTGATCTTTTATGAAGTATACAAATGAAATTTCTATATGCTCAAAATTATAGATGCTGACCCCTGGAAGCCAGCTGTCCTGATGGCAATATAATTTAATACTATTTGCAGGGTCATATACAGAGCCAGGGTAATTCAGTTAATTGAAATGAAACCTTCAAATGAAATTTCTTCATCCATAGGAAAAGGAGTATCCCTTCTTCCCAGAGACCCCTGGTTATGGCTTACCGTTTAGTGGTTGATGTGGCTGCTAAAGTTGATACCGTATATTTTTAGAACTGAGCCCAGCCTGATAATGGACAGGGCAGTACTCAGGGGCAGCAGTTATAAGATACTAGCTTAAAAAGTTATTCTGTGCTTACATGCATTTCTGTATAAGAATATTAAATCTTTATGTAGTCCATGCTGTTTGTCAGTACAGGTTTCTACATGTGAATGTGGCTAAACAAAGTGCAGTGGCATACTTACAGAATAAAGAGAAGTCCATTTTTCCTACAGCCTAGTGATTTACTGACTATAAATGCAAATAATAAAGCTTAGATTTTTGTTTAGCCACAAATCTACCTCAGAAATCATAGCTTGTTTTATTAATATGGATTGTTTTGCTAAACAGATTACATGGGTGTGTATTTGGTCCATTGGCTTAAAGCTGCCACACCCTACATCAGAATGCCTGGCTCAATTCCCACCCGATTCCCAATCCAGCCTCCTGCTTAAGTGATCCTGGAAGCCAGCAGGTGATGGCTCAAGTATCTGGGTGTTAGCCACCCACATAGGAGGCCCCTGGTTGGAGACACTGGGAAATAAACCAGCACATGCAAGATCTGCCTTTGAAATACAATAACAGATGACCTCTTCACTAAACAGACTCAAAGAAGTCAAACTGCATGTTATATGCTTAAGTGATAAACCATGTCTATCAGTATACATACCCTCAGATAAATCTTGTAATTCTAACATTAATTTCATCCACATTCTGGATCTTCTGAAGGTGTGTAGGTAATCCAAGGAGAATTCAGGAGAAAGAAATTCAAGAGAAAGACCTTGGATGAATACACATAGTAAAACTTAAGCTGGCATGCACAGGAACCTGTCCCTTCAATTCAAATTTCCCAGAACAGAACCCAACAGTAGTAAGTACACACTGTCTGTACCACATGTAGGCTAATTACTGAAACATCTTTGCTTCCATAACCAACTATTTCCAGTGTATGGACTCATTTTAGCCAATGTTAGAATTTCAATAGAGTTAAATGTGTAATCATAGTGTCATAACAAATTAAATCCAATAATTTTTATAAAAGACTAAAAATTACCTGGTGAAAGTGTATATCAAGTGTTTCATACAAAAGACTGTACAAAATTCATGGATTTTATTATACATTAAAAATCTAAATGTATTTCTTGAAGTCTTGCTATCAGTAAATACCTATTTTGACAAAATGAAAAAATAAGTTCTCCACAAAGTTGAGTCCTTGAAATTCAATCTTAAGGGAAATGTTGCATCATTTTTAGTTGTATACTGCAAGATTAATAGTGTAATTAAGAATTAACTAATTCACTTACATTACAAAATCACCAAATATACAATTTTGCACATTAGTTATAATTTCACCCCCCAGTTCTCATTAACTGAATGACCAACCACACGATATTTTAAAAAGTATAATAGGGTTCCAGTTTTGAAACTTTGTTCATTTATACATAAAAATTTAAAAGAGTAAAACCGAACTTGCTAAAAATGAAGAGCTTGCTTGCTACAACTGGTATAATTAAATGATAAGAAGCTGTTACCAAAACCAACATTAATATTTTCATTTTATTCAGGTAGCAGAGGGTTTTACAATGTTAGTTGTAAGGGTCTATCATTTATAAGATGATTTCAAGTGGTCCTTATGTAAAACCTCAAATGCCATGTGCATCCCACTGTCCTTTTCCAAAGCATAATGGAAACAACTCTATCTCCTCCACACTTCGGAGCCTAATTCTTTCAAAATTCAATCATGGCAGATGCAACAATCTGTTCAAGGTAAAGCTTTAGCTCCTTGTTACCATGTTTTTTTAAAATGGTAAAATGGAGAAGCAAAAGACAGCTTCCTGACTTCACTACCATAGTTACAAAAGCACTGTTCACATAGAATGTACAGAACTCGGCAAGCTTGGTTACTCTTTAAAAGTTGTGTAATTTAAAAAAAAAAAAGCATTAAGGTTGAGATAGGAAAAGACATCCCCAATCTAATCCAATCACCCAGATAATAGAACAAGCTCATCTTTAACAGTAGGCAGGAACTCACAGGCAGCCATCTTCATAAACAAAAAAGGAGAGCTTAGTCCAGTAGTTCAATGGTAATGGAATAGAAGCTGCATCTTGTATTTACTTAACTTTTATTTGGCATTGGAATACATTTTGGTCTGATGTATGGGAAATCCATAAGCAAACAACTAAAAAGGACTAAGGTTTGTCTTGCATCCCTAAATCTTCCAGCACCCTTTACATCATAGCCAAGTGCTATCCTTCGTTAGCAGGCTAGAGTTAAGTTCTAATCCTTTCTAGTGCTGATCGCCTTCTGGGTAGGACCACAGCTTCCATGTAAGTATGTAGAGCTTTATTAACTATTCTTCCCATTTGGCACATGGTTAAAAAAAAAATCCCACATAAAATTACTCCACTCCTACAGAAAACAATGTATAACAAAGCTTGAGACAACCAAGTATATTCTGAGACCTGACACGAATGCCATTCCAAACTGAAAAAACTAGAAAAGACTCTCGTGTAAAATTAATCTTAGTAACTTAACCTCTGGAAAATGTGTAAATATGTCTATGGAAAATATTTTAGCATACTAATCTTATAGAAGTTAAATGAGACACACGAGCATAATTTGTCAACAACAATAAAAATCAAAGAAATCAAGTTTTGACCAAAGACCGGCAACACAGAAATGGCACTTTAACCTTGGCACCAGGCTAAAATCCTTCCTTGGTCTACATTTCCTATATTATACCATTCATTTCCTTTTTAATCCTTTCATGAAATTAAGACCTTTTACTCATTTGCAGATCAGAGGTATTTACCATAATTAGTGCAATTTGTTCTACTCTCAACATGGCTTTGTGGCTATAACATGATTTGATTTAGTACTTTATCTAAATATAGGGTTATGAAAATATGGAGAATATCAGCCTGAAATTATGAAAGATTTTACAAACTAAACTCTGGAAATTTTTCCTTTACACAGTAAACATAAGTGTTACAGAACTTTTTTTGAAACAACACTTGATTATCAATAAAAATTATTCCCTACAATGCAAAAAATTACAATGCATTACCCTATAAGAGTGTCAGTCCTACTCTAAAACGTATTTTAACAACAGAAAAAAAGCCTTTTAATAAACTCACATCTTATCTTAACCATTACCGCTCTGCAGCAATAGTTGAAGTCCCAACCTGAGAACTAAGAAGTGATAATACAACGTCACCGTCTGTCCGACTTCTTTCCTGCTGGCATCAGGCGTAGAACCTAAGAGAAACATGAGCAACCCAGAACAGTGCCCCAGATCAACACTGCCACCAGCTGTAATCTGAAACCTTCAGTCTAAAATCTCTATTTCTAAAAAGTTCTATTGCACATTTAATATTGTAAAATATTTGCAAATTCATTGACTTCTCTGTATAAAGGGTTTAACTGAATGCTTCCTTACTACCAGCAAAACACTCCCAATGAAAAGAGGGAGCACATCCATGAATATCTGAACCTGAAGAATAAATTATTCCTATGTTCATAATCAATTACAGTGCAAGATAAGTTCAAAACTTGAAGGAAAAACACTTAAGTTTAATTCCCCAGCAATCTATTTACGGAGATAAGTGAGTTTCTTTTTAACATGTAGAATTTTTCATGTTAATGCATAGTATGTTATTTTTAGGGGGAAAAAAATCACACCTAAGTTATCAAGTTCAAGCTTATTTTAAAAATGAAGTTAAAATGAAGAAATATAAAGCTTAGTCTCCTTCTTGATACTTCAACATGGTTGTTACCTTGTGCCATTTCACCACAGAAATCGACCAACTCCAAGGGAGGAAATACCAATCAAAAACCAAGAGAAAGTCTATGCTTCTGATTCTTTCTTCCTTCCTTCTTCTCCCAAGTCGCTCTCTTCTGACTGGCTGCTGCTCAGGACAACAAACTGCCCCTCACTATTGGCTTGGTTTGGTCTATTGGAAGCAGCTATTAAACGACTTTGTTCTTCCAAGTCCTGGTCGAAAAGATGGAAAAGAAATGAAGTTAATTGTCTGCAGTCCAGTGGAAAAGTATGCAACTAAAATACAAACTCCAGAGCTACTTCAGTCCTTTGTCACCACATAATTCAGGCATTTTGAGGGAGAGAGAGGCAGTAGCAAACAATGCAACAGCAAAGTGAGTATTCTGGAAATCCTGTAAAAGCAAATATTCAAACTTATGTTTGAATCTTTTTTTTATAGCCAACACCCAATTCCAACTTTTATGATAGTAAAATCCTCATAATGGCCCATCCCACTCCCCTTGCCTCCTTCCTTCTCTAGGTATCTCAGAGTCACCTTGGCCACATCTCTGTCCACATATGCAGTCAATTCCCAACTCTTACTCCTCTGTTCTCATTAAGTACTCCACAGCTGACTCCTTTTTTTCTATTTTTACTGTCCTCTTTTCTTGTCATCAATATAATTTTCCTCAGGTTTTGTTATGGAAGTCATGTAGCTTAAAACTCTCCTGTTGCATTGGCACTCCTAGCAACATTTTTACTAAGAAAAAAAAACTCCTCACTGAAATATGCAAGTTCTGCTATTTGCTGAATAGCAAGTTATGCTACATGTCAGTATTACAAATATATCACAAGACAAATATGCTTTTCTACTATGCTAGGAACCATCTGGTTATGAAGTATCTGAGCAAGAAGAAACAGAGGTGCACTTGGAAATCAAATCTGGAAGTCAGAATGCTGAATTAGTCTTTGCATGGGGAGGGTATGTGACTTGGCGATGAAGACGCCATTGGGGATGTTCCACATTACTCATGGGAGGGCAATATTGGTTATATCCTAGTTTCACCTTTTTACTGGTGCAGACCCAAGGGAGACACCAGATGATGGCTCAAGCATTTGGGTCCCTGTCACCCAACTTGAGAAAACTAAATTAAGTTCCTGGCTCAGCTGTTATAGGCACTTGAGGAGTGAACGAGCAAATGGGCAATCAGTTTGAGTCTTTCAAAGAAAATAAAACAAACATGAAGTCTTCACAAACACCACAAGTAAAGATCCAGAGGCCAGCCCTGTGGTACAGCTGGCAGGCCACTGTTGAAATTGGCACCCCACATCAGAGCATTTGTTTGAAACATGTCTATTCCACCTCCAGTTCAGCTTCCTACTTGAATACCTGGACAATGGCCCAAGCTTCTGTACCGGGGCCATCCATGGCGGAGACGCAAATGAAGTTCCAGGTTGCTGGTTTCAGTTTTTGCAGCCATGTGGTTGGGGGCAAACCAGTCAGTAAAAATTCTCCCTCTATCCCTTGCCCATTCTCTCTACCTTTCAAGTAAGTAAATATATTTTTAAAAAGAAAAAAACATCAAAACTCCATACCTTTTCAATCTGCTTTTGTTTACTAAGTTCTTTCTGTTGCTTCTCTTTTACTCTCTCCATTTCTTTTTGCTTTTCTGATGCCCTACGATCCTAAAGAACAGATAAGTAAAATTAATGAATATAAAGTAACTTCATATTTTATACACTGCAATTAATATCACCTTTGTGACTTCCATTTTATTTTCTGCATTTATATATAAGAAAACACATCAACCGTTTATACTAAATGGTACAAATTTATCCATATTCTAAATTTTCTATTAGTAACAGCATTCATCATTGCTAAGGAAAATCACTTTTATTTACTCAGTAACAAGAAACAGTTTGTATTACACCATATTATTATTGAAAGATTCTTGGAAAAATCGGTATCTCAGTTTCTTACCAGTTCAGCGTGCAAAGCTATTTGTTTTGCCAATCCAACAGAATCACAAATCTAAAAAGGGAAATGATATGGAAACCTGAGGCAACTGTCACAGCAAAACAAAAATTTCAAGTATCCAAATAGCTTGATATCTAGTTTTATAGCTCAACATAAAATACTACTTGTAACAAAAGTGAACTTAAAAATTCTCCTGTCCCATAATCAAACTTTCTGTGTACCCAGCTTCTTTATCTCAAATTTATTAGACAGGAAGACTTGCCAAGAGGAAAGCAAACATATGTGTTGCTGTGATGAGCTAGATACCAGAGAATGACTGAGGAAAGGTAAGTCCATTCTCAGGAGTTAATGAGGCTAGAAGGCTGAGCCAGGAAGAGATGGCTCCATTGATCAGAAGGCTCAACCTGTATCAGTGCAACACTTTCACCAAGTAACCGAGGCAGGTTACGCATCATCTGGCATGGTTTTTCCTCCCCCTACCCAGCAATCTAAGGGCAACATACCTTTTCCCCTTCATTGTTTGATTCAAAAATATAGCAAACTGATGACAGATTACTTTCACTTCTCCCTCCTGATGTCCGAAGAACAAATCCAAAAAGTCTCTTGTTCTCCTGGTGTGTAGCATACAGAACTACACAGGGTAATGGAAACTGCAACAGAGAGCACAAGTAAATAGGAGTCCTTTCCAGCCAAAGGGAATACTTATGAGGATGCTTCAAAAAGTTCACTGACAATGAAATTTCCTTATTTGAATTTTGTTTCTTATTTGCTTGTCTTTACCTGGAAAACAGAGAAATCGTCTGCCCACTGGCCCTCCCTGCAAATGCCCAAAGAACTGGGACAGGGCCAGGTCACAGCTGGGAGCCATGAACTCCCTGCAGGTCTCCCACCTGGGTAAAAGGGATCCCAACCTCTGAGCCATACTTGCTGCCTCTAGGAGGATGCTGGGCTGGAGGCAGAACTTGATCCCAGCACTCTGATGTGGGATGCAGGTGTCTCAGGCAGAAGCTTCACTCACTGTGCCATGACACACACCCAGTAAGCTCAAAGTTGCAAAAAATTTTTTCATTTCATGCATATTTTTTCAGATTTTCACAAACTTTTTGAAGTGTCCGCATACATAACTAACTACTTTGGTCAACAAATTTTAACAGAACAAGAGGTTGCTGAATACTCCGTTTCATTAGACTCAGTTTCATTGTACATTTTACAAAGTCGAATTCAGTAACAAAAAATGGCCTATCTCATAAATCACTAAGGAGAAACACACTCTTGTAATTACTTCAAGACAGAAAACTAGAAAATAAATTCAATAATATTCATCTTTTAATTTCTAGCATTAATTTCCCTGGTGTGTGAAATACATTAAATTAGGGAGACCTAAGTATCGTACCAGATTGTACTGATTCTTTTTTAACTTACAAGGAATTTTCAATTCTAACTTTTTGAAAATGCCACAGACTTAACTGATATGTTTGATCTTTGCATCGCCCAAAGATTAAACATAATTGAGACTATCACATCTGAATCCACAGAATCAGGGTTAGTATCAAGTTATAAGATGTATATATGCATAAAGGGACTAAAGATTTGGCAATGCAGAACTCACCGTGAGCCGTGTAACTTGTGTCTGTGGGTCAATTAACCTATAACAACAATTAAAAATTTGGAAAACACATTTTAATCAGGTCAAAATTAAGAAAGCCTTTTTTCCTATACAATTTTTAGAGGCCATTACTACTTACTTTAAACAGTCACAAGTGACTAATAAATGGGATTCTGTCATACGAAAGATGTTATGGATGGCCCGGGCAGCTAAGATTTGGCGCATAGTTTCATAAACAACATCTGGATGGTCATCTGATTTCACTTCCATAGAACCAAGGAATCGAACAATAAATAACTGATGAAGAATAGAATCTATAACAGAACAAGATACATTTTGTTTTCAAATTTTACATTTCTTCTCAGAAGAATAAAATATCTTACCTCCCTTTAGATTTCCAATGAAAAACTCAAACTAAAGCAAGTATTTAAAAGTAACTCCTAACTACAATGTTTTAAGTTATAAGAAAATTAGGAAGGGGCCGGCATTCTGGCATACATGGTTAAGCCACTGACAGCGATGCCACCATCCCACATGGATACCGGTTCATGTCCCAGATGTTCCACTTCTGAGCCAACTCCCTACTCATGTGCCTGGGAAAGCAGTAGAAAACAGCTCAAGTGCTTGGACCCCTGCACTCACAAGGGGAAACCTGGGAGAAGTAACTAACTCCTGGTTTTAGCTTGACCTAACCCTGGCCATGACAGCCATTTAGACAGTGAACCAGTGGATAAAGACTGCCTTCCTCCCTTCTTCCCTCTATAACTCTGTTTTTCAAATAAATAACTACAATCATTAAAAGAAAAAAATTGAATCTCAAATTCAAACAGCATACTGATTGAATAACGTAGTTCTGAGGAAAAAGAACTTATACTATCCCAACCGCTTTGCTGTGAGTTTGCAAATATAAAGAAAAGCCCTGGTGTGGTGGCCTAGTGGCCAAAGTCCTCACCTTGAATGCAACGCTGTGCTCCCATATGGGCGCCAGTTCTAATCCCAGCAGCCCCATTTCCCATCCAGCTCCCTGTATGTGGTCTGGGAAAGCAGTCAAGGACGGTCCAAAACCTTGGGACCCTGCATCCATGTGGGAGACCTGGAGGAGGTTCCAGGCTCCTGGCTTTGGATCAGTGCAACTCTGACTGTTGCAATCACTTGGGAAGTGAATCGTCAGACAGAAGATCTTCCTGTCTCTCCTCCTCTGTGTATATCTGACTTTGCAATAAAAATAAATGTCTTTAATGTATATGTGTGTGTGTGTGTGTATAAAACCTCCAGTAAATACACATATAACTGGAGGCAGACAGCAATGAGTTAAGCAACCTGTGACATTGGCATCCTGTGTCAGAGTGCTGCTTCAAGTCCCAGCTTCTCTATTTCTGATCCAGCTCCCTGCTAATGCTCCTGGAAAGGTAGCAGAAAATGACCTAAGTATTTGGACCACTAGCACCCACATGGAAGACCCAGATGGAAATTACAGACTCCTGGCTTGGGCCTGGCCCAGTCCTACCCATCACGACCATCTGGGGAGTAAACCAGCAGATGGAAAATCTCTTCATGTCTGTCTTTCCCTCTGTTTCAATAAACAACATAAATCTTTAAAAAAAAAAAAAAAAGGAAGAAAGAAATTACTGTAAAAAGAAAAAATAAGTTATGCTCCCTCTAGTAACTAATAGCAGTAAGGAAACATCAGTTGTTAGAAGGTCAAAGTATATTCTATAATTCTGTATAACAGTACCTCAAGTCTAATTAAGTTCTGCTATTCTAAGTGTGCTAAGAATAAATACAGTAAATTCTGAAGAGATGACAAAACAGAGCATAGTAATAAAACAAACACAAATGACAGATTCTTTGATTTACATTGAGGTGCAATTCTACAATACTGAGACAGTAAACATTTGTTCTACCTTCACTTTCAGACTTTGTACCTCCTCCAGATTCTCCAAATGGATTTGTACGCCTGCAAGGTTTAGAAGAAAATGTGATCAAAATGGTTAGTTACTATGAGCCACATGGGAGAAATTTCATTATTTAAACCAGAGATAACCAATAGCCACAAAACTGTTCACACATTTAAAACTGAAAACCCATTACTGTTAAGGAATTACTGAACAGCAAACTACTATTAACTACTAAATAACAAACTACTATTAACTACTAAATAGCTAACTTATATTAACTATTCAATATGCTGAACCCTCTTGCTACACTTAAAACATTAACTGATTGGGAGCTCAGCCACATACAATAGATCAACATCAAAGAAACTTCCCTAAAGTTCTTGAATTTAAGTAAGCTAGTCCAGAGGAGAAAGCATTTAGCTTTAATATTAATTAGCAAAGCATTAATTGGCAAAGCATATTAACTGGCAAAGCATAATAAGCCTGTGCCACCAGCATCCCATGTGGGCACTAGTGGAGTCCTGGCTGCTCCACTTCCCATCCAGCTTCCTGCCAATGGCCTGAGAAAGTAAAGACAGCCCAAGTGTTTGCAGCCATGTAAGAAACCTGGAAGATGTTCTGAATCCTGGCTTTAGACCAGCCCAACTCTGGTTATTGCAGCCATTTGGGGAGTGAACCCGTGAATAAAAGATCTGTCTCCCCTCTCTATACCTTTGCCTTTCAAATAAATAAATCTTTTTAAAAAAAAAAAAGGAAAAAAGGGATTTCCTGGGGTTGTAAAAATCTCTTTTTGGATTCTAAGTGTGTGTCACAAGTTACTTCAACAATTCAAGCTAATTTACAACTGTAATTAGTTTATTTTTTAAGATTTATTTATTTTTACTGGAAAGTCAGAGATACAGAGAAGAGGAGAGACAAATATGAAGATCTTCCATCTGCTGATTCCCTCCCCAAGTGGCTGCAATGGCTGGAGTTCAGCCAATCTGAAGCTAGGAGCGCAAGGTTTTGAGCCGTTCTTGACTACTTTCCCAGGCCACAAGCAGGGAGTTGGATGGGAAATGGGGCCACTGGGATACAAACCAGCACCCATACAGGATCCCGAGAATGCAAGGTGAGGACTTTAGCCACTATGCTATTATGTTGGGCCCCTGTTTTCTACTTTTAAACCTGGATTTATCATGATAAAATTAAGTACAGGAAGAAAATTGAGCTGGGGAATGGACATTACCTCCATCTTACTGTATTCAAGTACAATACAGTTTAAAGTAGGCTTTGAGGAGCTATGTTTTTTTGTTTTGTCCACAAAACAAGGGCTGGGCCAGGATTGCAGCCAAGTCAGGAACAAGATTCCAATTCAGTTCTCCTACAAGATGATAGTGGCCCAACTAACTGAGCCATCAACAGTGCCTCCCAGGATCCACACTGGCAGGAGGTGCAGAGACAAGACACACAGGGATCTTCTGTCCTCTGTTTCCCTTCAAGTTGCCCAATAGTAAGGGCATCTGGATCTCCCGTGTGGGTGCAAGGGGGCCAATTACTCGGGCCGTATTCCACTGCTTTCCAAGATTTATTAGCAGGAAGCTAGACTGGAAATGGAGTAGCCAGGACTCAAGCCGGCACCCATATGTGATGCCAGCATCACAAGTAGTAGCTTTACCATCTACACCACAACTTTGGCCCCCAATTTTCTTCTGTAATTTCATGAGAAAATATCTAACTAGACAGGCTAAGCAATTTAGAATTAACAATTTTTGAAACTGTCTTAACTCTGTACATTGAGGCAAAAGACAAAAAAAAGCCTATGCGACTCTTCCCTACCAAAATTATGTTAAATAATTATACAGAGAAACTCCATGGCTGATTCACATGAGATTTAAGAGCTGCATCTCAATGCAGAAATGGAAACATAAACCTTACAAAATCCAGCACAGTGTTCCTGTGGTGCCATCACCTACCTGCCTCCCTGGCCAGAGTTTTTTGCCAGGCCAGGCTGATCTTCACTCACAGGAGAAATTATGTCAAACTGAATTGGGGTGTCCGGGGCAACAAGAGAATCCAGAGAGAGGGCAGCCAAATTTGATGACTCAGACCCTAAGGATCCTGAACTGCTGGTCCGAGCCGTCGGTGGTCGAGATTGTCTGAGCACAAAGGGAAACAAGAAGGCATTGCATTTACTTTTCTCTTTCAGAAACTGAATACTTAAATTATAAAAAAAGATTTTTGGTAATTTCATCTCTTCAAATTACTTCCTTCTGATTAAATGCTTCAATGACTCATAGATCATACAGTAACATTATCTTCAAGAAGGTTGATTTTCTTTTTCATTTCTTCAGTGACACATTAGTCATTCAGTAGCATGTTATTTAACTTCATGGTATTGTTGATTTTTTTTCCTTCCTTTTGATGTTTTGTGGCTTTTCATTTAAGAGAATGTGTAGTAATTGTAAGGGAGACTGTCATATCCAGATGTGAGGATACAATGCAGTATGCATCTCTACTTCCAGACAAAGAAGGACTCCCAATGAAATTGTTTACTATACCTTGACAATAGGATGCTGGACTCTCTGCCATTGTCCATGCCCACAATGATGGACATACATATGACTGTGTATGAAGAACTATACTACAGTAATGATATAGGGGAACTCAGTGAAGGAGGAGGGAATTGGGGAGGGGATAAGGTAAATCCAGGGCCTGTGGAACTGTATCATATAATGATAATAATAAAATGAAGTACAATTACTTTAAAAAAACTCCATGTTAAGTTAATGAGAGAAGTAAAACTTCAACATAAGCATAATCCCAAATCAGCTAATTATTTAACAGTAGACTTTCCAATTAGTGAACTCAAAAGCATAGTATTACCTCTACCTAGAGATTTAGTTGGAAATAAGGGAATAGGAAATCATTTATTTAAAACCCTTATTGGTAAAATTGCCACTTTGAAATCCATGTTCTCTGTTGTTCAATGAACTAATTAATGCCAGTGTCAATAGTATTATTAAGAGTGCTTTCCAACACTCTAACCCATGAAATTCTTTCTATAAGCAGTATGGTAACTTGCTGGGGTCCGTGTGGTGGTTGTGGAAGACACGAAGGTGTGAAGAGTATTGTTCCATTGCAGGCAGGGCCGTAAGGAATTTTCAGCCCAGCGATGTCTCTACAACCACCTGAATACAGCTCCACCTCCCTTTGCATGGACACTGGACCACCCCGCTGAGATTTCTGCAATCTATTTAGCCATTGTCTGCCTCTGCAGAGTCAGTCTTTACTATCAATGTGAGACTGGAAGTTGATGATGTTGCAAAAGGGCCTTTTACTATTCAGGCTAACCCCATTGACCATATGCTAACCAAGGGTGTTAAGTCCCCAGGTGTACAGGAATCTATTCTTTCCCTCTTTCCTTGATCTTTAGGTCCCTCCTTCTGTGATGCACTTTCTCCCTTAACTGATTCAACACTAAGCTGTAGAATGAGGATTCTAGTAGGAATGTGTAACTGATTAATATGTACCGTCTACTGAGAACTTCCTGACCTCAGGATTAGGACAGCTGATATCCTGCCTCAGGGTGAAATAACTGGCAAAACTATCCTTAGGATGTCCGCTTGACCAGGTGTGGTCTGTGCCAACCTTTGTGAAGGCTTCTGTATAAATAAAGTGGACAGCTTTCTCACATTGTCCATTATGATCCTGAAATTGTGGTGGTCCACACACCCTTTGTGAACTCAGCTGGAGCTGGACTCCAGTGGTGACTCACCCTGCTGGCCGCAGGCTCTCATGCCTCTGCTGGAAAGATGGGGAAGGAGTGACAGCTTCCAGAGCAGACTGATTTACTCGGGCAGCAATTTCCTATTTAGATTTATTTCAGATAAAAGGGCTATTATTAGCAAAGAATGAAAACCAAAGCTGAAACAGAACTAAGAATTGTCAGAATATGTTCTAAGTTATACTTAACATACAAATCACACATATTAAAGTACTTCAATGTTTTTAATATATTTTCACATTATAAATTACCTACTAGAAGAAAATCTATTTTCTACTAATATACATAACAAGAATGAGTACTGCCTTCTCTATAAACTTTCAACTATAAATGTTTGGATTAATGTTTTCATTGTAAGTGCGCAGCATAATGCCTGGAAAAGTAGACACACAGCCATCTGTCGAATGAAGAAATGCAGGATAGGAAATATTCATGAAAATATAAAGACTAGGGCCCAGCGCAGTGGCCTAGCAGCTAAGTCCTCGCCTTGAACACGCCAGGAACTGGCGTGGGCACTGGTTCTAATCCTGGCAGCCCCGCTTCCCATCTAGCTCCCTGCTTGTGGCCTGGGAAAGCAGTCCAGGACGGCCCAAAGTTTGGGACCCTACAACCGTATGGGAGACCTGGAGAAGACTCCAGGCTCCTGGCTTCAGATTGGCACAGTTCCGGCCATTAGAGTCACTTGGGGAGTGAATCATCCGACAGAAGACCTTCCTCTCTCTCTCTCCCTCTGTATACCTGACTTTGTAATAAAAAATAAATCTTTAAATATATATATATATATAAAGGCTTTATATATATATATGAAGACTAGCATTTGTTAATTTTAACCTACTTAGGCCCAGTGGCATGGCCTAGCGGTTAAAGTCCTCGGCTTTAACCGGGATCCCACATGGGCGCCGGTTCTAATCCCAGCAGCTCCACTTCCCAGCCAGCTCCCTGCTTGTGGCCTGCAGTCGAGGACAGCCCAATGCTTTAGGATCCTACACCCGTGTGGGAGACCTGGAGGAAGTTCCTGGCTCCTGTTTTCGGATCGGCACAGCACTGGCCATTGTGGATACGTGGGGAATGAATCATCAGATAGGAGATCTTCCCCTCTATTTCTCTTCCTCTCTGTATATCTGACTTTTTAATAAAAATAAATCTTTAAAAAAAATTTTTTAACCTACTTATTTGAAAGGCAGAAAGACAGAGATAGACATGTTTCACTCCCCAGATGCCCGCGATAGCTAGGCTTGACCACAACAAAAGCAGGAGTCTGTAACTCAATCCGGGCTCACACTGGGGGCAGACACCTGCTGCTTTCCAGAGTGCACATTAGCAGGAAGCTGAAATCCAAAGCAGAGGCAGGACTTGAATCCAAGCACTCTGACATGGGATGTGCTACGTTGTACCAAGTGGTAATTTAACCATTGCAGACAATGAACATGCCTGAAAGTTAGTACTCTAGCTATGCTAGCAAAGTATTAATGATTTTGTGTAATATATTTACACTAGAAATATCCACATACTTAGTAATTTATGAAGTATATCTATTTTCAGTCCTTGACTTGAAGATAGGAAAGATTTCTGTAAGAATTGCTTTCAGGGGGCCAGCACTATGGTGTCAATGGGTAAAGCTGCTACTGCAATGTTACCATCCTATATGGACAGTTTTGAGTCCCAGCTGCTTCACTTTCAGTCCAGCTCACTGCTAACGCCCTAGGAAAAATAACAGAAGACGGCCCAAGTCCTTAGTCTCCTGGAGACCTGTAAAACTCCTAGGACCTAGCTTTGGTCAAACCCACCCTGACCATCGTGGCCATTTGCTCAGTGAGTCAGTGGATGATAATGGTAGATGAATCTCTCTAGAACTACTTTCAAATTAATCTTTAAGTATTTTTACTTGTTCTTTTTTTAAAATTCTGGCTAGGAACAGGCAGTGCAGAGTATATTGCATAATGGAATGCCTGGAATTGAGTCCAACCACTGCTTCTGACATCACCACACTAATGTGCCTGGGAAAGCAGACGAAAGCCCAAGGGCTTGGGCGGCTGTCATCTATGTGCTGGCTTCAGCCAGGCCCAGCCCTGCCTGTTGTGGAGTGAACCAGAAGGTGGACAGATCTATCACTATGTGAGATTCTTTCAAAAAAAAATCTTTGAAGGAAAAAAAAAGGTGAAATCTAAATAAGATAATTTAAGAAACAGGAAGGCAAAATTAATTAACCAGGTCCTGTCATTCAGTATTTATTTTCAATATTTGGAATATTTTCTTACTCATACAGCTTTATTTGTACAGTAAATATGCAACAGTAACAAACTATTTTTCCTAAATCTGGCATGAAATTTTTCCTGATTAACTTTTAAAGTAAAAAATAGAGATCTATTAACCTAGTAGTTAAAGTCCCTACCTCACAAGTACCAGGATCCCATTATGGGCACTAGTTCTAATCCTAGCAGCCCTGCTTCCCATCCAGCTCCCTGCTTGTGGCCTGGGAAAGCAGTTGAAGACGGCCCAAAGCCTTGGGACCCTGCGCCTGTGTGGGAGACCTAGAAGAAGTTCCTGAATCCTGGCTTCAGATTGGCGCAGTACCGGCCATTGCGGTCACTTGGGGAGTGAATCATCAGACAGAAGATCTTTCTCTCTGTCTCTCCTCTTCTCTGTATATCTGACTTTCCAATAAAAATAAATCCTTACAAAAAATAAATAAACTTATAAATGTACTATAAAACTAACAAATTACTGATATTCTGGAGATCATCAAATTCTGTTTTGCTGATGCAAGTTTCCTCTTGGCTATCTTTATCATGTCTTGTCTGGCACCTAAAAGCTATTATGATGTTGTCCAAAATAATAATTAAAATTAATTAATTTAAAAGCTATTATGATGGAAATAGCACTCTTCTTTTTCCCAGTTCTCTTCATTTGTGTTTAACACTTGGTGGTCACCTTTACCTATTCATCTTCATCCTTTATATCAATCCGTTACTAATTTGTCTGGACCACATACTCCCATCTAATCTACCATTACATCCACAGCAATCGAAGGCTTAGAAGAATGAGGTCTTCTTAGTCTTACTAACGCCTCTGTCCAGCTGGGCAGGGACAGCTGGGTTCACAGCACAGTGAGGCTGGCTAAAGTCACATCAAGTTGCACAGGTTCCATCCTAGAATCATGTCTTTTCCCACTACACTCCTTGTATACCCACTTGCTTCCAGAGTTCTCTGGACCTCTGGTTTTACCTGTGTGTTTGGATTGCACTGTACCTAAAGCTGTTTCTATTTCAGAGTTCAATTGGTTTAACCTTTAACTGGTTTAAAGGACAATTTGCAAAACTTGGAAAACAACCTGCATTACCAGACATAATGAATTATAATATGCATTTTAACAAGATTCCCCATATGACTTCTAGGTGAACTGACATTTTACATTACTCCTCGTTAAAAACTTAATTTCCAACAAAGTACTAGTTCTATATGCATACTATTTCTGTATTTACAACTTTAACTCTTTATCTGCCTTTTCCTCACCATAAATTCCTACCTCGCTTCTACCTTCTCCACTCAGTTTTCTCAAACTTAAGTCCAACAGTGATATTAAACATTTCAAAAATTAAGTTTCCATCATCACAATATACTTTCAATGGTATCCTGATTTATATGAAATGTTAACAGTCTAGTTTTATCTCCCCATAAAGATATATTCCTGGAAGTTAGAGACCATAGCTTATTTTTCTTCTATGTTTTCCTTCTCCAAAGTGTTCAATCCGAGGCAAATTAGTCAATACTAAGTATTTGCTGACTGACTCATTTCAGTACTTCCAAATTAACTTATTTTTCTAGTAAGAACAGATATTCATTACATACATATTATATTCACAATAGCCATACACAGTCAAAAGAAAACATGAGAAATTATGATTAAATATAAATCATGTAAATATACAATTATTTTTGCTGGATCTAGTAAATAAAAACATTACCTCTGGATTTTCAGTTAAGTATATTTGTTTAGATATGTTATTTATTGTGCAGATCCACTGCAAAAGGAAAACATAAAAATGATTAATATTTTTACACAGAGCTTCTCTTCTTGGATGTTCAATATTCAACTGAAACAGAATTTCCATGAGAAGTTCCACTTAAGCTTCCTTTGTAAGGAAGCACATTTGTATACACTCACAAAGAATCTTCGAAAAGCTCATGGAAAACATGTATTAGGAAAAAACTATGGATGGATTTAAATATTTTAAAATTATTTTTTAACTCCATTTTTCCATAAGCTTCTTAAAATACCTTTCTAATAGAACATTCAGATTAATAATTTTAAAACTTCAGATTCCATAAAAACTGAAATATAATAATCACATTAAAATTTAACATTCTATATTTCTTGTTTTCACTTCCTCTCTTAATCCTAACTAAACAAGACAGTCTGAATTATTATAATTACCAAAAGAAAATACTCCTGGCAATTAAATTTTGCATACCCCGCTTCCTGCAAGTTCCTAAATAACACATCGAACACTGCTCCCCATCTTCTGCTTCTCAAGACCCAGGGACTCCACGCCTGATGAGCCTCACTAAACTGCTATTTTGTCTGATAAATCATGCACACAGTAGACCCATTTGTTTCTCAGAGATTGAAACAAATTTCAGTGGCAACATTTACATGAAAAGCAAATAAAGGTAGATCTTTACATAATTTCTAACTCTGCCTTTTATCAACATAATAATACCAAATTAAAAAGCTGAAAATCCAGTTGCGGTATATGATCTCATGCAAGGATACAACTCCAGACAAAGGCCGTGAAGCAACAGTTCTTGGCAGTACCTTGCCTTCCAAATCTAGTATAGTAAGAGTAGACACGGAGCTAAGACAAAAAGGCTCAATAGGAACAACAGACACTCCCAAATTTTTGTTTTTCTGGTTTTCATTCCCACACAGTTTGTAGCTTTAGGTGCTTCCTGCATTGACTATGTTCTTATGGCAGCAACTATCAAAAGTTGGTGAGGGAAGAAATTCTACTGCCACCTCATGATTCTAACCGTGTGCCAGAAGGCAGCAGTCACAAGGTCACTGCTGAATTTGACCCCTGAACACAGCAAAGACACTCTATCTAAGGTCCTTTCAGTCACGAGACTGAGAGTCTTAAAATGCTGCTTGTGAGGAAAAGACTCATCAGGAAAACACCTTTAAATTGGGAAAATGCTCCTAAATTTTTACAATGAACACATTAAGACTGTCATCAGAACAGTATTAGATGCTGCTAAAGAAATTCAATAGATAAAAATCTACCTCTTCGTGGTCTTTTTTACTCTCTGCTTGCAAAATTGAAGATCTAGGAAAAAAAGAAAATAGTTTCAACCTCAGTATTTTCAAAACTTAAACACAAGCAACAAAATTTTAGGAAAAGGAGACCACCACTTAACAACTCTGCATCTGGCCATCTACGTTAAAATGGGAGTAGATATTGTTCCTCAGCAAACACCTGAGGAAGGTTCACATCAATTAATACAATGCATTTCAAGTGACCATGCTAGCATATAAATCAATGATCCTTCTAGAAAACACCTTTATTATTGATCATTTCTCCTTTAAAAATAAATAACATGAAAAAAATCAATACCACTAACAGCAATATTTAGGATTTTCTGTGGTGGTAATGTTTTAGAAGTGAGAAGAAAATCAACTTTCACTAATTTTGTATCATATCAGGAATATTACATAGGAAATCATCTTAAGTACTAGCAAAAATTAAAAATACTATTAAGTATTATTATTAACTTTTAAGTAAGTCTGACAAACAAACATAGGGCCCCCAACATCCAATGTGATAACTGACATTCAGAACTGACATTCTGAAATTAAACAGCCTCCATCATAAAATGTAGTGGACAGTATTTTTCTTTAAGGGGAAAGAATTGGATTTATATGGGGGATGTGGAACGGAATGACCTTTAGAAAACCCTGAAATTGCTCCTGCATGTTAAAGTTTAAAGGTAAAAATAATAAGAAGAAGAAGAAGAAGAAAAAGATAGCCAACTCAGGATGTGTAGCAATAGGAAAATATTTAAATTACAATACATGTCCTTAAATAGATTATAATGCAGGCATAATAAGGCATAGTGAATATGAACCTAAATTAGATAAACTATTTTTTCAACTGTTTAAAAAAACATACCTAGGGGATGGCACTGTAGCCTAGCACATTTTAAGCCACAACCTCCAGTGCCAGTACGCTACAGGAGTATCGGTTTGTGTCCCAGCTGCTCCACTTTCAATCCAGCTCCCTACTAACGTGCCCAGGAAAGCAGCGAAAGACGGCCCAAGTGCTTAGACCTCTGCACCCACATGGGAGACCCCAAAGAAGTGCCAGGCTCCTAGTCTGGACCTTGCACAACCCTGGCCACAACATCGATCTGAGGAGTAGAACAGATGCCAAGATCTCTCCTCTAACTCTACCTTTCAAAGAAATAAATGACCCTTTGCCAAAAAAAAAAAAAGAGTACCTAGGATACAAACTGGGAGACAACAGAATAAGGAATTAATTGCTGCTTTTGGTGATGTTTTTTAAAAATATTGTTTTAAATGGATAAATGCTGGGTAAGTATCATAACATTTCATATTTACTTATAAATGTTCTCATTGAATCCACATTACGATCATTGTGGATTCATGACAATGATCCCCTCACTCTGTCTTCAAGAAAAGTGTAATGACTGCATCTGAAATCAGTGTGACAAAATGTAAAATAATCTTTGAATACAAAAAAAATTAAAACATACACAAATTTTTAAAACATTACTCTCATGCACAGCAATTATCAGCAGTACCAGCATTCTATATGGGTGCTGGTTTGATTCATCCTGCTCTACTTCCCATCCAGCTCCCTGGGGAAACAGTGGAAGATGGCCCAAGTGCTTGAGCTCCTTCACCCACAAGACAGCCGTAAAAGAAACCCCTGGCTTTAGCCTAGCCCAGCTCTGGCCACTGTAGCATTACTGGGAGTGAATTAGCCAAAGGAAGATCTCTTTGTCTCTCCTTTTCTCTATAACCTGCCTTTCAGGTAAATAATCTTAAAAACATAAATAACTTGTTTTAAGACTTTTTTAAATTTTCTTTTATTGGAAAGTGATATACAGAGAAAAGGAGATACAGAAAGATCTTCCCTCCACTGGTTCACTCCCCTGTAGCCACAATGGCCAGAGCTGAGCCAATCCAAAGCTAGGAGCCAGGAGCTTTTTCAGGGTCTCCCACACAGGTACAGGGTCCCAAATTTGGGTCGTCATCAACTGCTTTCCCAGGCCACAAGCAGGGAGCTAGAAGTAGAGCAGCTAGGATAAAAATCTGCGCCCATATGAGATTCCAGCAGATGCAAGGCAAGAATTCAGACAGGCCCAAAAATATAAATCATTTAAAACAAACAAACAAAAAATAACAGTATTCCAGATTCTCATGTAACAGTGTAACAAAAGCACAACAGCATTATAAGCAAATAAACAAAATAACTGATAAGCATTTAACACATAATGCTATTGTTAGCACCTACTATATGCTGGGCCTTGGTTACCTTTTTCCCCAAATATTTATTGATTTTTATTGGAAAGTCAGATTTACAGAGAGAAGCAAAGACAGACAGAAAAGATCTTCTGTCCGCTGATTCACTCCCCAACTGGCTGCAACAGCTGGAGCTAAAACGATCCAAAGCCAGGAGCCTCTTCCGAGTTTCTCACATAGGTACAGGGTCCCAAGGCTTTGAACCACTTTTCCAGTCCACAAGCAAGGAGGTGGATGGGAAGTGGAGCACCGGGACACGAACCAGCACCCATATGGCTTCACAGAACATGCAAGGCAAGGATTTTAGCCATTAGACCATTGCACCAGGTCCCAAACGGTGCATTTCTGATCAGGCTCCCAGCTAATGGTCCTGAGAAAAGCAGCGCCAAGCTGCTTCAAGTGCTTAGGTCCATGCCACACTCTTAGGAAACTCAGAAAAAAACTAGGGGCTCATAGCTTCAGCCTGGCATAAGCCTAGCCACTGCTGTCACCTAGGAAGTGAACCAGCAGATAGAAGGTCTCTATATACAAAGCTTTTATGGGGACTCTCCATCAACATGGGTTGCATTCCTATACCTATCGCATTCCTATTCCTTTACCTTGCAGAACTATTTTAGGAACCAGTTTCTTGACACTCTGACTACCTCAAATGTCAGTAAATCATTTCTTCAAGTCAGAAGAGAAAATGCAACTTATTTCTACAAGACAAATGAAATGATCTTAATACAGTATAAGTTTAAACACTATGCAATTTTTTGAACAAGGAATTCTGCATTTCAGTTGTTTAAAATACTTCAGATTTTAGTAGTAGAATAAATTACTAACTTTTTCCCATCAAACGAGGTGATCTGAAAGCAGTATCGCCTGTCTTCACAGTCCACAGCCATCACTGAACAGTTGTCTATGTCCATGGCCAGACCGCCTGCAACATCCCCACGCGCTTGACTCATTAAGTTTCCACCCTGCGTGAAGTAAAACTGTCTGTCCCAGGTAGATGACACCAAGCCTGTTTTACTAAATGAAGAAAGTACATTCATGCTTTAATAATACAGCATCCCAAGTCACTTTATCATCAGCCAAACACAAGACAAAGCATACTGCAAAGAACCAGTTTTTGAATAGGCTCTAAAGTGCCTCGAAAATTTAAATACCAGTTTTTCAGTCTCTAAAACGAATTCACATAAGTTGACTCACTTTGTGTGAAAGTATATCTGAGACAAGGCTGAAAATTATTACACAGCAGTTTAATGATGCTCCACAAAAATATAGGTTATATTTCAAAGAAAAAAAACTCAAAATAATTTTATTCCTAGGACTAATAACTTCATCCTATCTTAGATGAAAACTGAAACTTCACTTCATGCAATAATTACACAGTTTAAAATATGGTAACTTGAAGCTAGTACTGTGGCATTAAGCTGTTATCTGCATACAAACACCAAGTCATTCAAACTCAAACTCTATTCACCTTTTCATTCCGTTTCTCAATAAACATCTAAACAGAATCTTACTCTTAAAAAATTTTGTCACACTTCATCAGGATCACATAATAGCTAATACCAGGGCCAACACTATGGCACAATGGATTAAGCCACTGCCTGCAGCACTGGTATCTCCTATGAACACCACTTCAAGTCCCAGCTGCTCCACTTCTGATCTAGAGCCCTACTAATGTACCTGGGAAAGCAGAATACGGCCCAAGTACTTGGGCCCCTGTACCCATGTGGGAGACCCAGATGAAGCTGCTGGCTCCTGGCTTCCGTTCCAGCCTAGCCCAGCCCCAGACAGTGCAGTTATCTGAAAAGTATACCAGTGGATAAAAGGTATCTATCTATCTGTCTATATACAGATATATCCAACTCTTTCAATTTAAAAAATAACAATAAAAAGGCCCAACCTCTTCAAATGAAAATAACATCAAATATTATGTTCATTTGGCATCACCTTACATGATTCATAATATATGAAAATAACAAGAGTTTTCTTACTTCCTAGCATTAAGGTATCCAGCCTTTCGGGTTAAGTTTCGATTAACAGGAAATTTGGTGGGATCTGGGTCAGGCACATATAAGGGATCACTGGCTACTTCCAAATCCTCTATCGTCTGCTGCATGGTTTCCACGTCACTGTCCATTTCCCTGCGGACACTAACACAGAAAACACATTATTTCCTACCAAAACAAAAAATTCCTCACCAATCACATCCACTTATATACTTGCTTTATATATATTTTGTTTAAAGAGAAAAGCAGAGTTAGTTGGTAAAAGTAACATGAATATATTTTGAATAGCTTTACATTTTATTTGACTTAAGTATTTTGGAAACAATACTAAATCCAAAAAGTAACGAAGCACCACAAATGGCTCTGTGTCTTTATAGCAATGTTTTTCATTTCTTCATACCTTACTCTGACCACATCATTGCTAATTTTTGAACCTGATTAGAACTGCTTTCTGTAAATTTTTATATTTAGAAAGCGAGATTTATTTAGCATATTAAGTTATCTCCCATCCAATCCTCACAATTTAAACATAATTCCACTTATGGGTAATTACTGTGTCTTCTGTATTCAGACAGAAAAATCTAGCTTTGAATCACTATATTTATCATCAAATTTATGAAATTCAGAGTTCACACTCCAGGGAAACGTGGGGGGAAAAGGCAGGCAGCAGCCACAAGCCACTGCAGAGACTCTCATGGAAGGAAAAACACTCCCTCAGGAAGTGGACTGGTAAGTATCTTTAAATTGTGGCATTTAGCTGTCAGTGTATCCACTCCATTTTAAACTTAAAGGAAAAAAAGTACTTACTTCTGGACACTTGTTCCAATATTAGCTAAAAATTCTTCCAGTTGCTCACTGAGATTTTCAGAACCCATCTTAAAGAAACTTATCTGGGGTGAAAGACGAGTGGGTTGAACAACATAAATATGCACACCAAAAAAATTATATCAGCAAGTCCCAACATACACAGATAAGTAAAAAAAAACAGAAGGGGGGGTTATTCCATTTTATGCATCTGAAACTTTACTAGACATAAAGCCACCCAGTAAGCAAGATTTAGACCCCACTGATATCCTACCATATTTTAAACTGCACAAAAAATACACACGTATGTAAACTATTTCATATTTTCCTAAAAGATATGTAAATTTTGTAACTGAGCCAGAATAAGTACTCTTATGTGTGAAGATACATTCACGCTTCTTAGACTATATGTTTATTTAACAGGTAGGAGTGGCAAGTGAAGAGGGGTGATAAGAAAGAAGAAAAAAGAAAGAATGCATGATTTACTAGCTCATTCCCTAAATGCTCACAAGTGCGGCAGCCCCACTCTACTGCTCATGTAATTCAGAAGCCAGACACTCAATTCAGGTCTGCCACGTGGGCAACAAACACCAATTACTTGAGTTCTCACTGCCGCCTCCCAGGGTATCCGTTAGCACCAAGCTGCAGTCGGCAGTTGGGACCAACAGTCAAACCCAGGCGTATTCCAACGTGGTACACAGGCATCTCTGCCAGCACCTTGATCACCAGGCCAAACACCCACCCCAAATTCTTGATTTTTAAGGAACAAATCTTATCTACTACCTAAATTTTCTAGCCTACTTTCCTATAAGCAGAAAGGATCCAACCACACATGATGGCAAGTAGTTCGATTTACCGTAAAACATCTCAAATCATTTACAAGGAAAACTGTCATCCCAACTTTCTTAAAATAGTACTCCAATGACATTTTTAATATTACTTTTAAAAACTGAGATGCAGGTAAGTACACTGATAATAGTTTGGATATACTTACATTAAACTTTACTGGAAGCTTGAAATACAGCTTCTCGAACAATTATAGTCTAAAGTATAATACAGTATTTACCTGAGCTTGCATGTACCCAAGCAGAGGTTCTAACAATGCTATTTTCTTCTTATACTGAAGAGTATTTAATGCACAAAAATAATGCATCATCGTCTGGTGCTGTTTCTTTCTGGAAGTGTAGACATCTTCTGTTACTTCATACTTCACCTGTGAATGAAAAAATTAAAAATACTATTACTTATTTAATTTTGAATTATCTTCAATAGCAGCTATGTGAAACAGCCTACCAAGCAAAATGGTTTATCAGGAACAATTCGACATGAATTCCTATTATTCAATTATAAATCCTTCAATATATTGGCTAAGTGTATTTCCCTATTTTAAAACTACCAACCTCATCCTTTACAAAACACATACCACAGAAAAGTTCTGCACACAGCTAGGACCGATACAATAACCAAACTAAGAATACAGTCTACCAGAGAGGAAAGCCAGACAACCGTTAGCTCAGCACGGGTCTCCGACATACGCTAACACATACTACTCTTAACCTCCTGGTCCTCTTCCTACCAGCCCCTCCTCTCCTAATTGCTTTTACTCCTTCACTCGTACTTTAAAACACATATGCCCCTTGATTTTTTTCTATTCACACAGTATTTTCTGAACACCAATTGTGCAATACGCACTTAGCTCTTCCCTCTTTCTCCTCTAGAATCCTATCAAATACCAATATTCCAATATACCAAGGACTCAGTGATCAGTTTTTTCAAAGATTTTTTTATTGAAAACTCAGATTTACACTGAGAAATGTCTTCCATCAGCTGGTTCACTCCCCAAGTGGCCGCACCAGCTGGAGCTGAACCAATCCAAAGACGTGAGACGGGAGTTTCCTCCAAGTTTCCTACATGGGTACAGAGCCCCAAGGCTCTTAGCTGTCCCTGACTGCTTTCACAGGCCACTAGCAGGGAGCTGGATGGAAAGTGGAGCCAGTGAGATTAAAACCGGTGCCCATATGGGATCCTGATGCATGCAAGCAGAGGACTTTAGCTACTAGGCTACTGCACTGGGCCCTCAAGGATCAGTTTTATCTCCTGCTCCTCACTATTTTAAGAGCCAAAGGAGGGGGCCCGGCACAGTGGCCTAGCGGCTAAAATCCCCACCTTGAACGCACAGGGATCCCATATGGGCGCCGGTTCTAATTCCAGCGGCCCTGCTTCCCATCCAGCTCCCTGCTTGTGTCCTGGGAAAGAAATCAAAGACAGCCCAGAGCTTTGAGACCCTGAACCTGCGTGGGAGATCTGAAAAAAGCTCCTGGATTCAGATCGGCTTAGCTCCAGTCAATGCGGCCACTTGGGGAGTAAATAAGCTGATGGAAGATCTTCCTTTCTGTCTCTCCTCCTCTCCTTATATCTGACTCACTAATAAAAGTAAATAAATCTTAAAAAAAAAGAAAGAAAAGAGCCAAAGGAAACACACGTCCACCTGGATTTTCGTGTGTTCATGTGCAGAGTGTGTGTGTACACGTAATCACATGTTGAAATCCTCACAAAACCTGCTCTTCTACTTTCTTGGCTCTGCAGGACTCATCTAGGACTCACTTTTGATTCTGCTTACTAGCACAAGTCTTGTCAATCTTTCTTATAAAATCTCTCTCAGGGTTGGCAATGTAATGTAGCACGTTAAACTGTTGCTTGCATTGCCAGCATCTCAGTAACATTAGATAAAACCTTTATTATTTACAAACTATCCCCATAATTTTCTTCAGATTTCCTCTAGTCTTTTTTTGATCCTTCATTTTATTTTTTTCAATTCTCATGTTAACATGACACTAATACTTAGAAAACAATTCAATATAGTTCACAGACAGAATTACAAGAATATAATGCATAATGACACTACAGGAGAAGATATGCATCACACCTTGTCATTTTCTCTCTTTTTTGACAATCGGCTGTATCTGTTAATTGCAGCATCATGATCTGGAAAGCAAGAGCAAATGTTAACAGCAGTACGACAGCACCAACGGGTTCTTACTTGTGTACCTTTCTGAAGTGTGCCAACAAAAAGAATTCCCTACCACATAATTACTGCATTCAAATTTTTCTCATAAATTTCTCCCATATGCCAATTCCCTTTAAATTGTGTCTGTGTATAAAATTGGCATATATCTATACATATATATGTAAAATGCCTAGAAAACTATGTATTAGTGAATTTTTTTAGAAGTATTCTAGTACAAAAATAGCAAATGCTCATTAAAGAAAAACTGAAATGTACAAGGTAAAACATCTTAGACATTATAAACAGTAAGCTACAAATTTACTTTTAATTTTTAAATAGCAGAAACTAAGTAACAAAATAATTTAAATTAGATTCACTTAGGCTTCTAACTTTCTCCTTTTTTTAAGTTTTCAATTTTCATAACCCATCTAGCCATGGACGTGCACCAATAAATGCCTCATTCAAGACACTGACTCAGGACTTACCATTACTGGCAATCTGAAACACTTCCTTTAATGTCAGTATCTCTGAAAAAGTTCAAGGATAATTCCAGTTCAGTATATTTATGAAATATCCTAAAGTTTGCTTAGAAGACATTAAAGTGCCAATTAAAGCAAATTAAAACCTTCAAATAATACTTCAACATTAAGATATAGTTACTCCATATCTTAGCTCGTCTTTGGAACACTATCACTAGCAACAACGAGAGCAGAATCTCAATCGCTGGCACAGCCTTCCTGAGCCCCTCCTGAGCCCCCACAGCACAGTGCTAATCCACAAATCCTAACAGACACAGTGTCACCGTTACGTGGTTTTTATAATTTCTGAAGGGAAGGGATAACTTACTCATACCAGTATTTCTCAGCATCTAGTTCAGATATCTACCCAGAGCTCCTAAACATATCTGGTGACTACAAGTGGTCACAGTCTAGGTAGAGAGTGATATGCATCTTACAAGCATTGACCTTCTGATGAAAGTAAACGTAAGTTTGACTTCAATACCTTTCAGGTCTCTTTCTTTAAACTGGGTAATAGGGAACATCATGGCATCAGCAAGTTGAGTTGAAAGAACCGCATGACAAGAGCTAAGCTAGTGAAAGAAAGACCAAAAAGGCCAAATAACTAACTATGCAGAGACATTTATTGAGTATAACATAAATTTAACTGAACCTTAGTAAAAAAAAGTTTCGATACAGTTCATACTAAAAAGCACTAAAAAGTATGTGGTTATTACAAAATATTACATATTCAAAAATTCCATTAAAACTCAGAAAAAAAATAGAATGACCTTGGTTTGGCAATATCTTCTTAGATATGACACCAAAAGCACAAGGACCAAATAAAGTATAAACTGGATTTCATCGAGATTAAAAATTCTCATGCCTCAAGGACACTATCAGGCAAGTGACAACCCATAAAATTTGAGAACACATGACCAATCACATATCTAATAACAGACTCGCACTTAGAATGAAGAGCTCTTACACCTCAATAAGATAACAAATAACCCAATAAAAAAGTAAGCAGAATGGACTTAACGTACCGTGGGCTAACCTGCCACATGCAAGGTTTGCATCCTATATCACAGCAGACCCAGCTACTATGCTCCCAATCAAACCATACAGTAATGAGCCCGGGCAGGCAGCAAGCAGATGACGGCTAAGTACTTGGACACCTCCCACCCACCAGCAGGGTGCGTGGGCATTTAGGGAGTGAACCAGCAAATACAGATCTCTCTCACACCACCACCACCCCTCTACCACTCTGCCTTTCAAGTAAATAAATCTTTGTTAAAAATATCTTTCAAAAAGTGGGCAAAATATGATACATATTTCATAACTGTATAGCCAAAAAGCAAATGAGAAGATGCTGAACATTTTTAGCCACCAGAAAAATGCCAATCAAAACCACAGTATCACTTCACATTCACTTAAGATGTCTATAATGATTTTTAAAACCATGAGAACAATCATTGATAACGTTACAGAAAAACTGCAACTCTCCTACATCACCAGTGGACAGAAAAATGATACAGGCACTACAGTTTGATAGTTTGTGGAAAATCCAAAACTAGCCTATGATCCAAAAGCCTCACTTCCAGCTATACACCAAAATAACTGAAAACTTGTCTTCAAGAAAACAAACCTGTACACAAGTGCTCCCCATAGCACTACTCACACCGGATAAAATGTGGAAACAACCTAAATGCTTATCAATAATAAACAAAATGTGGTAAAGCCATAAAATGAAACTTCTGTCAAAAGAAAAGTGCTGGAAAAAGTATACAACAACATAAAGCACAAACACATGCTAAGTCTACAAATTCTCTGAATTCATTATGTAAAATATCCAAAACAAGCAAATCCATAGAAACAGGAAGCAGATCAGGGGTTGCCAACAGCTAAACATAGGCAGGGGGAAATGCCAGCCTACAAGCAGGTTTCCTTTGGGATAATGGAAAGGTTCTAGAATTAGACAGTGGTGATAACCCACAACATTGGGAATACATTACATTTCAAGAGTGGCAAATTTTGCATATATTTTACCACAATTTTGTAATTTAATAAATAAATCACATTTCATTAAAGCATTATTCTAGGACATCATCCTAGCGTAACATTTTACTAAAATGATTTGTTAAAATAGTTCAAAAATCACACTTCCAGCTGTAAGAACTAGAAAAGAGAACTACTGACTCATGAACAGCTTTCACTGCAACAGTGAAGAACAGTTACGGACTCCCCACCCATCTCTCACTGTCTTTCTTCCTCTTAGCTACCACATCTTTTCATTTTTTAATGATTTGTTATGATGACTTAATTTGAGAAATTAAGCATTGTTCAGAAAGAAAGGACTAATAAGAAATGAACACACAAATGTTGCTTGACGTCATACAAGAAACCACAGGGTCTGGCAACAGAAGTTTTCTCTCTGCTCACATTCAGTAACACAAGGAAAGGCACACTGTTAGGGTAAGGCAGGTTAAGTCACTGCTTGGCAGTCAGTCCCAGCTGCTCTGCCTCCTAGCCGCTGCTTGCTGATGTTCCTGGGAAAGCAGCACATGAGAGCTCAAGCACTGGGGTCCCTGCCACCCACATGGGAAACCAGATGGGAGTTCCTACTTCTTGGTTTTATTCTGGTCTAGACCTGCCTGTTGAAGCCATCTGGAGAGTGAACCAGCAGACTGAAGATTTGGGTCTTTGTTTTTCTCTCACTCTTTCAAATACATCTTTTAAACATACATACATAAGGAAAACTTGGGACAATCCTTAGACTACAAAGCCACATGCTTCCTAGGAAATAATCTGTTTTAATCAGGTAAAAACGGTGTACATTTTCTTTTAATGAGACAGGCACCAAGGTATAGACATTACTTCTTCAGTAATCTTTGCAATTGAGCTTTACTGAGAATCATAGAAGTTCCTAAAAGCTAAACTTGAACAACTTAATTACAAGACAATTTATTCAAATGGGAAAAAAAAATCACTTGCCTCATCTATAACTTTTGAAAACTGCTGTAAAGTAGAGCTCATAACTTCATCATCACCTCCTAAGGGAAACCGCTGAGAAGAAACAGAGACAGGTTCAGTACTGTAGGTCTCCTGTGAATGAAACCATACTAACCTCGATAGACTTTCAAATTTTCTAACAAGTCTGAAGCTGTTATTTAAACAATAAAATTTACATATTTAATAAACACTAGTTAAGATGTTTGCTAGGTAACCAATTAACATGGTATACTATAATAGTATAGTATACACTGTGTAGTGGGAGTTTAAACATCTGGCATTCAGTTCCAGTCCTTTCAACAGCCAATAGTAGAAACTTTAGCAAGCCTCAAAGTTCTTCATTTGTAAAAATCAAGACAGGTAAACTAGATAACCCACGATATCTAACATTAAATTATTAAAACTATCTTTACGTAGTAAAATTTCAGTAGCATATTCTGTTAATTCAAAAAAGCCAAAGACTCCAGATGACAGTCTATTTGTTCCCAAAGATGCTGTATCACTGTATATTTTACATCAAAATCTTGATATACAGGGGCCAGTGCAGTGGTTTAGAAGGTTAATCCTCCACCTGCAAGCACCAGTACCCGATATGGGCACTGTTTTGTGCCCTAGCTGCCCCACTTTTGACCCAGCTCTCTGCTTACGACCTAGAAAAGCAGTGGAGGATGGCCTGGGCCCAGTACTCATGCCAGAGGGCAGAAACAAAGCTCCATCTTGGGATCTGCTCAGCTCCAGTCACTCGGCCTTTGGGGAATGAACCAGCAGACCTATCTCTGTCTCCCCTTCTGTCTCTGTAAAAACTTGCCTTTTAGATAAAAATAATCATTTAAAAAAATGTTGATAATACAATACCTGTTTTTCATATTCTTTTAAAAGTTTTGAAGTCAGGTGTGTTGCCGCACTTAATTCATTCTATGGAAAACAACAACATTCCAATGAGCAAATTACTGGTTAACGAAAAAAGTTTTAACTGAAAATCTAGGGCCCGGCGGCGTGGCCTAGCAGCTAAAGTCCTCGCCTTGAACACACCACGATACCATATGGGCGCCGGTTCTAATCCCGGCGGCCCTGCTTCCCATCCAGCTCCCTGCTTGTGGCCTGGGAAAGCAGACAAGGACGGTCCAAAGCCTTGGGACCCTGCACCCGTGTGGGAGACCTGGAAGAGCTCCTGGATCCTGGCTTCGGATCGGCATAGCATTGGCCGTTGCGGCTCACTTGAGGAGTGAGTCATAGGACGGAAGATCTTCCTCTCTGTCTCTCCTCCTCTATGTATATCTGACTTTCCAATAAATAAATAAATCTTTAAAAAAAAAAAAAAAAGCGGGGGTGGGGGGAAGTATTGGGCCCTGGCGTGATGATCGAGCAGCTAAAGTCCTTGCCTTGAACACATCGAGATCCCATATGGGTGCAGGTTCTAATCCCGGCAGCCCTGCTTCCCATCCAGCTCCCTGTATGAGGTCTGGGAAAGCAGTCAAGGATGGCCCAAAACCTTGGGACCCTGCACCTACATGGGAGATCCAGAAGAGACTCCAGGTTCCTGGCTTTAGATCTAGCCATTGCAGCCCCCTGGGGGAGTGAATTGGTGAACAGAAGATATTCCTCTCTGTCTCTCCTCTTCTCTGTATATCTGACTTTGTAATAAAAACAAAACAAATCTTTAAAAAAAAAAAAAGGAGGGGGAGGATATTCCCTAGGATCAAAAACGTGATGAGAGCAAATTTACTAGCAACAATAGAAGATCTTGATCAAACCTCAAAGATCGCAATCAGAGGGCCTTACTACGTTTGGGCACAAAGCGCAGATGTTCAATCATCCCTCACTTTCATAGTGCTACAAACGACACACCAGGAACTGAAAGGCAAGGTGTATTTTCAGGGTCGGGCCTGGCAGTTAGGATGACAGGATGTCTGTATTACAGTGCCAATACCCAGCTCTGCTCCTGACTGCTCCCAGCTTTCTGTTGATGCACACCCTGACACCAATGACAGCTTATGGACTTGGGTCCCCACCACCCACCCAAGAGACCCAGATTGAGCTCCAGGCTCCCGGCTACAGGCTGGCCACATCCTGGCTGTTACAGGCATTTAGGGAACAAACTAGTAGACCAAAGCTGTCTCACTGACTACTTTTCAAATAAAATGAAAAATAAATGAAACTACTGTCTTCACTCTTTTTACCTGTGCATCATAAATCCGATGCATAGCTTGATACAACTGGTTCATGTAGTTGGAAATAGCTGTAGCATCCTCTTCAAATACACCCAGTAATGATCTTGTCTGTTAAAAATAAAAGCAGTAAGTATATATTAATATAAATTGGAAAGTTTTTCTCAACAAAAACAAAACTATTACAGCTCTCATAATTCTGAGTTTTAATCTATCATCTCTTTTGATAATATCAAAAAATTAAGGGGTGTTATTCTCAGTTTCACATCTTTAGAGCAGAGACATTTGCCAACTACATCACACAAACTTACGAAGGAAACACAAAGGGCCCGGCGGGATGACCTAGTGGCTAAAGTCCTCGCCCTGAAAGTGCCGGGATCCCTTAGGGGACCAGTTCTAATCCCAGCAGCTCCACTTCCCATCCAGCTCCCTGCCTGTGGCCTGGGAAAGCAGTCAAGGACGGCCCAAAGTCTTGGTACCTGGCACCCGCATGGGAGACCTGGAAGAGTACCTGGCTTCGGATCGACACAGTTCCAGCTGTTCCAGTCACTTGGGTAGGGAATCACTAGACGGAAGATCTTCCTCTCTGTCTCTCCTCCTCTATATACACATCTGACTTTGCAATAAAAATAAATAAATCTAAAATAAATAAAGGCAATATTCCTTCCTAATATGGTCAGATTTTCTGCCTATAAAATATCAATCACACTTTCCTAAGTGCAGAATTTGAAGGATTTTTTTCTTATTTTTATTATTTTTTTATCGGAAAGGCGGATATACAGAGAGGAGGAGAGACAGAGAGGAAGATCTTCCATCCAATGGTTCACTCCCCAAGTGAGCGCAACGGCCAATGCCATGCCGATCCGCAGGCAGGAGCCTCTCAGGGTCTCCCATGCGGGTGCAGGGTCCCAAAGCCCTGGGTCGTCCTCGACTGCCTTCCCGGGCCACAGGCAGGGAGCTGGAAGGGAAGCGGGGCTGCCGGGACAGAACCAGCGCCCTCATAGGATCCCGGGCGTGCAAGGCGAGGACCCTAACCACTGCGCCACCGCGCTGGGCCGGATTTTTTCTTTTTTATACATTTTTACTTTGTTCAGCTGTTTTAAACTGTAAGCATGTAAAAACTACCTGTAAGAAAAATTTTACAAGAATGTCAACAAAGATTACAAAGCAAACTTGCCTATCAAAAGCAAGCTTTGCTTTCCATTTTGTGTCCCACAAGCAGAATAATTGAAATACCAACAATAACTGATAACTGAAGTTTAAAATCTGAAAAATGACCTTGCACTGTTATTCCAAAACACAACTTGAGCACTAAGCTTCTACATTCGTGGCATAAAGGGGGAAAAGGCACAGTCCATTCCCCAGGCTCAAGTCTTCTACTTCTCCAGGGCCCAGAGATGTCACTCTCGCACTCCACTCCCAACTCCCCATCATCATGCTATTTCAAAACAAAAAGAAGGGGACAGAGCTGTAGCATTGCTCATACAGCTGCTGTCTGCAGTGCCAGCATCCCATATGCTCCATTTCAGATCTGGTTCTCCGCTAATGTGCTCAGGAAAGTAGAGAACGGCCCAAATGTTTAGGCTCCAACACACACGGGAGACCTGGATAAAGGCTCCGGGCTTTGGCCTGGCCCAGCCCTGGTGGTTGTGACCATCTGAGAAGTAAACCAGAGGATGGAAGAACTCTCTCTCTACCTCTCCCTCTTTGTTTTCAAAATCAATAAATCTTAAAGAAAAATGCAAATCTGGGGCTCGGCACCGGCATTGTGGCATCAGAGTAAAGCGACTGCAACACAAGCATCTCAAATGGGCTTTAGTTCTGTCCTAACTGTACCACTTGCCATCTACCTTGCCGTTAATAGTTTGGGAAGTGTGCAGGGCCCTGCCCTCCACATGAGTGAACCGACAGACAGAAGATCTTTCTCTTCTCTGTCTCTCCTCCTTTCTGTATATCTGCCTTTCTAATAAAAAATAAATCTTTTAACAAAGGAAGAGACATATCTACTGGCTCACTCCCCAAGTGGCCACAACTGAAGCCAGGTCTGAAGCCAGATCAGCTGAGCTGATCTGAAGCCAGGAGCTTCTTCCAGTCTCCCACACGGGTGCAGGATCAGGTGCCCATATGGGATCCCAGTGCGTGCAAGGTATTAGCCACTAGGCCACCATGCCAGTCCCGATATCATTTCTTTAAATCGATGAAGGTATTTATTGCAAGATATACCACTTCCATATAATACCAAAACAAAATAATGCTGGAAAGCAAGCTGTAATTTAAGGTTTTCTTTACATCTTGGTATTTTTACATGCATACAAAGAATCCTTTAGAATTTTATCACAAATAGGTCTGATGTAAACACAAAAATACAACAGTACACATTCAAAATATGCTCCAAAGTTCTCTACCTCAATTCAACTCTTACGAATCACTTTTTGACTGTAGTGCCATCAATATTCATGCTTTCTCATGTTATTCGGTGTCATGGAGCATGTTTCGGACATGCTCCAGTTGTGTCCCTGGTATTTCCTTCCAAGACATGGATATACAGCAAGTTTTGATGCTGACACTTGCTTCCACCAAATAGGAATAGATTTGCACATAAAAAAAGTTCTTTCTTCAAATAGCTGTTAAATTGATTCACTGTGCTTACTAAAAGGCTACACACGCACTTGGCCAGTATAGGACCAGAAAAAAAACCACCACACATGTACATGGTGCAGGGAATGTCAGGTTCATTACAACTGACACCTGGGGTAACACTTATTGAAAAGCACAGCAAAATTGAATGGAATTAGAGATGTTAAAACGTTGGGAAAATCGCATCTCATAGTCTATGCATATTTTATATTACACAAAGCAATCTCCACTTGACGCTGAGGTTTGTCGTCACCATCCTTTATCATGAGTGAATCACTAAACATTTACACAGGAATCAGTAGTGTTGAAAACACACTTTTATATTTCACAGAGTTAGACTCTTTCAAAGGCAGCGAGATCTTCCATTCCTTGGTTCACTCCCCAGTTGACCACATGGGCAGGCCAATGCCAGAACCTTAAACCAGGCCTCCCATAGGGGTGGCAAGGACCCAAACACTTGGACCATCTCCCACTGCCTTTGCCAAGCAAGCCATGAGCAGGGAGCTGGATCTGGAGTAGCCAGGACTTGAAATAGTGCCAAATGTGATGCTGGCATGACAGGCAGTGGTTTTAATTGCTTTGTCACAATGCTGGCTCCAAAAACCAATCATTTTAAGTCCTACCTGTTGGACCAGTGCAATGGCCCAGTAGCTAAGTCTTCCCCCATATGCGTGCCTATTCATGTCCCTCCCAGCTGCTCCACTTCCCATCCAGCTCCCTGACTGTGGCCTGGGAAAGCAGTCAGCAGTCGAGGACAGCCCAAAGCCTTGGGACCCTGCATCCTCATGAGAGACCAAGAAGCAGCTCCCAGCACCACACTGGCTTAGCTCTGGCCATTATGGTCATTTGGAGTGTGAACCAGCAGATGAAAGATCCTTCTGTCACTCCTCTCTGGGAATGTGTCTTTCTGATAAAAATAAATAAATCTTAAAAAAAAAAAAAGATGCTTATATTTAATCAGCTCCATCTGGACTTGCAGACTGACCCTATTTTAAAAGCCATCTACTAGAAATCAACTCTGATAGGGTAACTGGAAGTCAGTATAGTCTTCCACGACTCCAGGCTCTAACTTCTAAGCACACCAACTGGCAAGCCACTTATAATTTGGTTTAAAGGATCCAATAAAAAAATTATCCATACCAGGAGCTTTAAAAGTGATAGTCCTTGTTACTCCACTTCCTGGACTCTATCCTAGATCAAACATTTCAAACAGAGGAGGACAAAAAAATATGCCCAACAGCATTATTCAACCCTCTTCAGAAAGGGAAAATTGTAAAATGCTAAGGACAGGCTAATTGCTAAGTCAATTACAGAAACATGCTGTCTTCTGCCTCTCTCACCCACAATGCATGAAGATAGGTGAGCTACAACGTTAAGTGTAACAACTGCTCTTCCACCATATAATTACATTAAACATATGCTGTTTAAGGAAAAAAAAGACTAAATAAAACTGTAACTTTGTGCTAATGCCTCACAAGTAACTGAGTGTGCACAGTTTTCTGAGAAAAGCAATCATTTCCTTATTTTAGTAATAATAGGAGTAAAAACTACAAACACTGGCTAAAATAAAGAGGGTTCAGAGAATCTAGGGGATTTGCCGTAAGGCAGAAAATCCTAACTGGTGGGCCCTGCACAGTAGCCTAGTGGCTAAAGTCCTCGCCTTGAATATGCCGTTATCCCATATGGGCACTGGTTCTAATTCCAGCAGCCCTGCTTCCAGCCAGCTCCCTGCTTGTGGTCTGGGAAAGCAGTCAAGGACAGCCCAAAGCCTTGGGACCCTGCACCCATGTGGGAGACCTGGAAGAAGCTCCGGGCTCCTGGTTTCAGATTCGCACAGCTCCGGCCATTGCAGCCACCTAGGGGAGTGAATCATCAGACGGAAGATCTTCCTATCTGTCTCTCCTCTCTGAATATCTGACTTTCCAATAAAAATAAAATAAACCTTTAAAAAAATCCTAACTGGTAGCAAGACTGAAAACCTTTGGCGCCTCCATTCCAGAGCCAGGACTTACCAACCTAAACCCCAGCTGTCCCAACTTATTTCCCCAAATCAACATTACCTAGTTCAAATGTGTTGCTTCTGGAAATTAATGTATTGATGCAATTATTTCATTGTTATTATAAAAAATCAATACTAAAAACCTCATTCTCAGATTGTAAACAAACTCTGTAGCAAAACTCAAGCCATAAATGAGTCAAGAAGTCATTTGTGCCTCACAAGCCCTGGCTTGGGCTGGCTGTGAGCCAACCTCAGCTGTTTATGGATTATAAAACACACCTCAGGTGGGAAAAGAAAAGCAAGGCAATCCGTCAAGATTTAAAAAAAAAAAAAAAAGCAAAACAACAAACTACACTCCACAAAAACACTCCCACCAAAAGTTTCGCAAATCATCTGACACAAGACAGTCTATAATTCCATACTGCAGGAGTCATTAAGAAAAATCTCAACTGGCAGGCAAGATAAACCCAAATTCAGCTGTCTATCTGTCTCCTATCCGTATGGGCTGATAAGAGTACATTACCAGTAAGCAACTGGCTTGGAAACATAACTCTGGCTGAAAAAAAAAAAAAATCAATCCTAAAATCAGAGCCCAATTTCAACTTGGCAATTACAACTGGCCCAAATTCCACGGCAGCAGTGATGTCCAGGAATGGGAGGATGGGGGGGAGGCGGGGGCAGACAGAATCGCCTTTTTTCTTCTTTTAGAGGAAACCCTATCAACTCGTTGAGACACATGAAATTTGTATAGCCTGGACTTGTAAAACGAACGGCGCTTCCGAAATTTTTCTAAAGCGGTAGCTAGCTAATTAGCAATATCTTACATCGCTTGTTGCGAAAAAGGAAGGAAGTTTCTTGACGCTAAGGCACAGGCCAACATCTTTCCTAAAAACAGCTGATGCCGATGAAAGCCCAACTAAATGCTTCCCTCCCCTCAACAAACCTCGGCGCATCGCCCACCCCCCCCACCCCCCCAAAAAAAAGGTCTGAAACCACAGCAAACCGCACCGGCTTCCTCTCCCCCCATTGCACCAACACAGAACACGGGGCTTTTATTTTGATGAATTTATCACGGGAGCCAAGACTGCAGCGGGCGGTGCAGCGGCCGCCCGAGCCGCTCGCCAAGCAGCCGTCCCTCGCCCCGCCGCGCTCGGGTGACAGCGGCCAGCCCTGGACACGAACACCCGGGGACGCACACAGCCCTCCCGAGGGGGAGGAAAAGACAAAAAAAAAAAAAAAAAGGAAAGAAAAACACGACCCATTTCCTTTCCTAGCTCGCGGAGCCGCTGCAATCGTCTGCAATCCCACTCCCGGGATGGCTGGCTCCCTGTTCTCCGCAAATGACGGGGTCAGGATTTAACACACCACGGCGTTTTGAAAAAAAAATAAAAGAGAAGAAGGACAGAGAGAGGGAGAGACAGACTCGCGTGCGTGCGTGACTGCCAGGCCCACGAAAGGAGGCGGCCCCCTCGGGTCCAGCCGCGCGAGCAAAGGGCCTCGGCGGCTCCGGGCGCGGCCCCGCGATGGCGGCAGGGGGCACCTGGGCTCGAGTCGGCACCGGCGGGCGACCCCGGGCCTACGCTCGGCCCTCCCGGCTCGCCCGGCTCGCCCGGCTCGCCCTCCTCGCCCTCCTCGCCCTCCTCGCCCGCCGCCGCTCGCGCCTCACCTGCGGGCTGTCCTCCAGCGTCTCCTCAATAGGCAGCTTGTCGATGCCCGGCATGGTGGCGGCGGCGGCGGCGGGAGGACACAGGGCGGCCGCCCACAGCTCCAGGTGCCGGTCCGCGGGCAGCAGCAGCAGCAGCAGTGGCGGCGACAGCCGGCCCAGGCCCGCTCGCCCACTCGCCCGTCCGCCCGCTCCCTCGCTCGCAGGCCCGGCCCGCCGACGCCGCCCGTGCCGCCCTCGCCCGGCGCGCAGCGGCCGCAGGGGGAAATCCCGCCCCCTCGGCCTCCTGGCCGCGCCTCCCTGCGCTCCCATTGGCTCGCGGCCACGCCCGTCCGCGCTGGAGGCGGCCGGGAGGTTGAGGCAGCGAGCCCGGCCGGCCTCGCGGGTGGAGCCGCCCCGGTGCTGTGTGGGCGGCGCGCCGCTCGTGGGGATGCGACTCGCCAGGGCCCGTCTTCCTGACGGCGTGCGGGCGCCGGGTAACCAGAAACCTCCAGCGAGGATGACACTGGGGAATTTGAGGCAGCCTCCCGCAACATATTTCGTCAGCGACGTTGGAAAAACACCCTACGTTCCCTCAAATCATAACCTTCCCAGTCCTGTCCGAAGCATCCAGTCTTAACCCACTCCAGCAAAACGGGTGTCTGTAAGATGCGAGATCCCTGCTATAAATTTGTAGGGTCGAAATGATCCTTCTGGACGCTTGGTAACATTTTATTGAGTTTAAAGAAACAGACAAACCTGTGACTCCGGCCATACAGAGTTCCCGTGTTTTGTTTACCACACAAAGAAAAACACCTCTTCAGAACAAGGCTACGCTGCTTGCTTATGTACAAAACCGCTTAGCATTTATAGTCGAGTCAAAACATGTGAAAGAGGCTCCTAATCGATTTTTAATTTTACAGCAAGCAGAACGTGGGGTCGGGGATTTGACTGAATGGAAGCTGCGACCCTCTCCTTCCTTCTGCCTCCTGGCCCATCTTCCCCATCTCACTGTACAGTTCCTCGTAGGAAGCTTTGGGATACAGAAAAGCGAGTGACAGCGCCCGACACGGTAGCCTAGCGGCTGAAGTCCTCGCAGCCTCACTTCCCAGCCAGCTTCCTGCTTGTAGCCTGGGAAAGCAGTTGAGGACACCCCAAAGCCTTGGGACCCTCCACCTGCCTAAGAGACCTGGAAGAGGCTCTGGCTCCTGGCTTCGGATTGGCACAGCTTCAGCTGCTTAGGGAATGAATCAGCAGATAGAAGATCTTCCTCTCTCCTCCTCCTCTCTGTATATCTGTTTTTCCAACAAAAATAAAATAAATCTTTAAAAGAGAGAGAGCGCAGAGATCTTACCTTCACTAGTTCACTCCCCAGAAAGCCTACAGTGGCCAGGACTAGGCAGGGTAGAGCTAGAAAATCCATCCAGGTCTCCCACATGGAGGGCAGGGACCCCAGTACTTGAACCATCACCTGCTGCTGCAGGGTGTGCAGGAAACTGGAAATAGAAGGACCCACGATTCATATCCAGGCTTTCTGATACCCACGATTCGCATTCCAAATGATGCCTTAACCTCTTAACCCAACACTTGGTAGCAAAGTTTCTAAAACAAGGTTGGATTTCCTTCAAGAGGTCACAGTGCTCTAAGAAGAATGACGGAGGGGGCCCGGCGCGGTGGCGCAAGTGGTTAAGGTCCTCGCCTTGCACGCCCGGGAACCCATATGGGCGCCGGTTCTATCCCGGCGGCCCTGCTTCCCTTCCAGCTCCCTGCCTGTGGCCCGGGAAAGCAGTCGAGGACAGCCCAAAGCTTTGGGACCCTGCACCCGCGTGGGAGACCCGGAAGAGGCTCCTGGCTTCGGATCGGCATAGCATCGGCGGTTGCATCGGACGGAAGATCTTCCTCTCTGTCTCTCCTCTCTGTATATCCGCCTTTCCAATCAAAAAATAATAAAAATAAATCTTTAAAAAAAAAAAGAATAATGGAATGGCATCGTGGTACAGCAAGTCAAGCCTCTACACAGTGCTAGCACCTGATATCTGATGCTCCACTTCCAATCCAATTCCCTACTTAATCACTCCTGGGAAGGCAGGTGGTCCAGGTATTTAACATCCCACCACTCATATGAGAAACCAGGATCGAGTTCCACGCTCCTGTCTTCAGCCTGGCCAGCCCAATTGTTGCAGCCATGGAGAGAATGAAAAAGGAAGATGTTCTCTATGATGCTCTTTCAAATAAATAAATCTCTCTTTTTAAAAAAGATTTAGTTGGGGCCTGGCAGCGTGGCCTAGTGGCTGAAGTCCTTGCCTTGAATGCGCCAGGATCCCATATGAGTGCTGGTTCTAATCCTGCAGCCCCGCTTCCCATCCAGCTCCCTGCTTGTGGCCTGAGACAGCAGTCTAGGACAGCCCGAAGAAGTTCCTGGATCCTGGCTTCAGATCGGCATAGTCCAGTCCTTGCCTTGAATGCACTGGGATCCCATATGGGCACTGGTTCTAATCCCAGCAGCCCCGCTTCCCAGCCCCACTTCCCAGCCAGCTCCCTGCTTGTGGTCTAGGAAAGCAGTCAAGGACAACCCAAAGCTTTGGGACCCTGCACCTATGTGGGAGACCTGGAGGAGGACGCTCCTGGCTCCTGGCTACGGATCCGCTCAGCTCCAGCCATTGCGGCCCTTTGGAGAGTGAACCATTGGATGGAAGATCTTCCTCTCTGTCTCTACTCCTCTCTGTATATCTGCCTTTCCAATAAAAATAAATAAATCTTGTTTTTTTTAAGAGAGAGAGAAGCAGATAGTAATTGCTGGTAGGGGAAAAGTGGCAAGTTGAACAAATTTTAACAAAAAGAGTAGGTATCCAGTGTGGCTGAAGGGAAGGTACCCAGTTCATTTGACCAAACTAAATAATTCCCAGGGGGAGAAAAAAATCTGTTAGGTATCTGAGTTATCCGGGTGTGATCTCTCATTTGGGTGTGTGCAATGATTTCCTCCTTTGTTCCTATGTGCATCTAAGCTGTGTTTCTGCACAGAATTCTAAAGCAAGTGTTACATTCTCTAAGAGAAGCCAGGAATTCTTGGCAGACTCAGCTGGTTAAAAAACAAACAAAAACGGAGAGAGATGAACAATCAATTGGATGGTGGTTAAGCTGAATTATAAAATAGGAAGAATTTTAAAGTGCCTCTATTTGGATCCTTTTTTGTTTTGGCCACTCTCTATCATCCAAAGTGAAGTTGTGTTTCCTGTGCTAAAACATCTCCAAAGCTGCAGACTTTACCATCCTTAATAATGAACTTTTCTATGTTTCATCAGCTTCAGTTTTGTACAGTTGACTAAACTCAGTCCGTTTTAAGCCCACTTCCTTTTACGCAGGAAATGAAACTTGTTTAAAAAATGCCTCAGGGGCTGCTGGAGACTGGTGTGTGGGGAGCAGAGTAAAAACTGTGGGCAGGTGGTTAATTTTATAGAAGGCACGTCAGGATGAAACACCATCCACCAAAGAACTCTTTGAGATGTTTCACACATATAATTTACAACAAAAGGACATACAATCTTGTAAATAGATTTGTTAATGATTCATCTAAAATTATATTGGCCTTCTTATAAGTAGATTTTCACATGGTGCTCCTTGAAGGTCTGGTCTGTGGTCTGTAATAGGAAGGAATCCAATAACCCAAATGATGATAGGGCTCGACTTTTAAAAAATTATACCTCGGGGAGATAGCAGCGTGGCCTAGCGGCTAAAGTCCTCGCCTTGAACACACCAGGATTCCATGTGGGGGCACCGGTTCTAATCCCAGCAGCTCCACTTCCCATCTATCTCCCTGCTTGTGGCCTGGGAAAACAGTCGAGGACGGCCCAAAATCTTGGGACCCTGCACCTGCGCGGGAGACGCAGAAGAGGCTCCTGGCTCCTGGATTCGGTTTGGCTCAGCTCTGATCATACTGGCCACTTGCAGAGTGAATCAACGGACAGAAGATCTTTCCTCTCTGTCTCTCCTCCTTTCTGTATATCTGACTTTCCAACTTAAAAAAAGAAAGATTTTTAATGAGCTTTCACAGCAGTGCCTTGCATGATAAGCACTTAATAAAAATTATCTAATTATCTCTTATGATCTCTTCAGTATAAACAATTTTTAATGCCTTAAAGCCACTGTACTTCAGTTTATGCCATGTCATATCTAAACAGAACAGTAGTTCTAAATCAGAAGATTGTGTTCTGGGCCTGGCATGTGGCCTACTGGCTAAAGTTCTCACCTTGAACACACCAGGATCCCACATGGGCACCAGTTCAAATGCTGGCATCCTTGCTTCCCATCCGGCTTCCTGCAATAAAAATAAACCAAATCTTAAAAAAAAAAAAAAAAAAAAAAAAAGAAAAGAAAAGATTGTGTTCTTTGCATTAGAGAATGCTGATTCTTTTTTTTTTTTTTTAAGATTTTTTTATTTATTGGAAACTCAGATATACAGAGAGGAGGAGAGACAGAGAGGAAGATCTTACATCCGATGATTCACTCCCCAAGTGAGTGCAACGGCCGATGCTATGCCGATCCAAAGCCAGGAGCCAGGAGCTTCCTCCATGTGTCCCCCACACGGGTGCAGGGTCCCAAAGCTTTGGGTCGTCCTCGACTGCTGTCCCAGGCCACAAGCAGGGAGCTGGATGGGAAGTGGACCTCCTGGGATTAGGGATTAGAACCGGCGCCCATGTGGGATCCCGGCGCGTTCAAGGAGAGGGCTTTAGCCACTAGGCCACGCCGCTGGGCATGTTTTTTAAACAGTATTACCATTGCCCTTGCTCATGTTTCATTCCCAGGACTTAGAGACTTTTGTGGCCCAAATCAAAATTTTTTTAACTCAATATGTACGTATTTTGATACTGTGGAGAAAATGTCTACCAAAACTGTTACCAAAACAAAAGATGTTATGCTGGCAAGGCTTTGGGTTTTTGTGTGTGTTTGTTTTCAAATGGACATTAAGCGTAGGCTGTGGATGTGGAGGTGTTCCAAGGTTAAAAGATACAGACCTGATGACACTCCACCCCCAGTACAAACAGGCAAGTAAGTGAAGAAGAGATTGCTCTTGGAGAGTAATTGCCTTGAGTGATGACTTATTGAAAACATCTAAATTTTCACCAAACCACAGAGGGCAGTAGAAAACTACGCATTGTTGCGATGTGTACAGCATTCTCAGAATCTGCACATTCTTCTATGAACACTA